ATTCCAGATGAAGTCTAAAAGGAAAACATACAGATGGCCAGATCCATTCATCTCAGAGGTATTTTGTTGTATACTCTGTGAAACTGGGGGAAGTAGCTCCATTTCTGGCAAGAAGACTGGTCAAAGAAGCTGGACCATTTCTTCAAACGAGGAGGCCACCAGAGGGAGGAAATGATGAATCTAATGAGCTTTTCATCTTTTCCTTCCAGAAACTCTTTGTTTTTTTCCTTATGCACCTGTCTCTGGACTAATTGGTATGACTCCTCTTGTGTGTGTTTTATTTGATTACTTACTGCCAGTTGGAGTTTAAGCAAACTAGTCCTTTTGAAAGAGATTTCTATACCCCTCTTTAACCTCTAACTTGCTTGGCTCTTGAAGAATGCATGTGGACTTAGAAGATACATAGAACAATGCGGGACCCTCTTCTTCAACTTAGGCTGGCTTATAAGGCTGGTTTATAGGACAGAGTTGAATAGAGCCTCTGTAGACCAAGCAGAGGCTTTTCTTGGAAGGTGTAGGAATTTATGGCTTGAGGTGTCGATCCATTTTAATGCACCAGCAAAAGCCAAGAAGAACATGGGAGAAGGAGGATGTGACAGTTTTCCATGTGTTTCCTTGAAACTTAGATAGTTTTCTTTTTTTCCCTTGGATAGAAAAAAAATTGACTCTAGAGGGATCATATACATCAGGGAAAGCTACAAAGAAATTATTGAGACACAACTCTTTTTTCCTTTTCTTTTTACCTATTGACCTCCATCCTTTCCCCCCACCAACTCCCCCTTCCCCATGGTAGCTACTAATGTGTTCTCTGTTTATGTGAGCTTGGCTTGGTTTTTCTTTTCCTCCTTTTTTTCCAGTTCATTATATGAGGAAGATTATATGGTATTTGTCTTTCTCTGTCTGACTTAGCTCACTTGGGATAATGCCTTTGAAGTCCATCCTTATTGCAAATGGCAAGATGACATTTTTATAGCCAAATAATATTCTATCTCCTGTCTCCATTTGTACATTGGTACACACTTGGGTTGTTTCCCAAGTGTCTTGGCTATTGTAAATAAAGCTGCAGTGAACATGAGGATGCATATATCCTTTTGAGTTAGTGTTTTTGTTTTCTTCAAATAAACACCCATAAGTGGAACTGTCAGGTCATGTGGTAGTTCTAATTTAATCATTTGAGGAACCTCCATAATGATTTCTATAGTGGCTGTACCAACTACAGTCTTCCCAGTATACAGGGTTCCTTTGATACGCTTGCCAACACTTGCTCTTTCTTGTCATTTTGATCACAGCCATTCTAACAGGTACGAGGGAATGTCTCCTTGTGGTTTTGATAATTAATAATGTTTAACATTATTAAAACAATTTCCCTTTCAGTTGAGATCCAAAAGTAAAACAAGTTTCCTTCTTCCCAAGCTTGGTGATCAGACTTAAGAGACATATTTCTTAGAAATAATAAAAAACCTTCAGATCAGTCTGTGTGTGTGTGTGTGTGTGCATGTGCGCACACCCACACAGGACCCACTTGATGAAATCCCTCCTGTCACATACACACCTCTTACAGCTGTTCACCTGTCTTACAAATAAGACCTTTTTCAGAGACAATAGAAAACAGCCTGAGGTTGTTACTGTGATTCAACTTTGCATTTACACTTGGGGCAATAATCAAATGTATTTTTAGTTCTAATGGGATCAGTAAGCATTCGTAGTCATTCATAGTCTTCCTCTATCAAAGATATTTCTTCTTCTTTCTTACATCTTAATCTCTGCTCATTTCTATTTTTATCATCATAAATTATTTCCCATCTCCATAAAAATTTTATAATTGGAAACATACTAGCTCTTTTCTGTAAAACTTTTCACTCAGTGTCTTGCAATGTTTTAGCAAAGCTGTGCCACTAACTAGGTTCAGATAGGAAAGAGAAGGTAAATGCACAGTACAACAAAGTGAAGGTTGTTGTAAGTATTTTGCAAAGCTAAGTGAATATCTACTGTGGCAGCCTCTTTAAAATTTGTTGACACTTTGGCCTATATACATTGACTATCTGCTACATTCCATTATACCTCATAGTTAATAATAGTGATTCACCCTGGGCTTAACTTAGTACTGTTATTTATCAGTTTACTTACTCAATGATGCAAAACCTTTGTTGCATATGTGTGGCTTGCAGACCTGTGTCTTGTTGTTTATACTTCTGCTTCTGGGGTTTGTTTTGCTTCATTAACGATTTCTGTTTTTGCTCTCAGTTGTGTTTAGCATGCCATAAAGCTGGATGTCCACAAATGCATGAAATGATCAAAATGTCCATTACGCAGCTCCTCACTGCCCTGTGTCTTCGTGCGTTCCCTGGCGGTCAGGGGCCTGTGGCTTTTCACCAGGTATTTGATTTGGCCGATTGAGCCTCTGGCAGAGTTGTAGCACTGAGGCTTCTCAGTGTCAGTTCTGCACTATGAAAGCAAAGGGCATGGGAGGTAGAACTGTTATTAGCAATACTAAAAGAAAAAAATTGGTGAGTCTTTTTCAAGAAACTCAGCCTGCCTTTGGACTTGGTTTTCTTTTAACCTCTCTGATTCAGTGTGCTCTTTTTAGCACTGCATTGAGATATAGAAAGGAAAATAATCACAGAGTGATATTTATAGGCCTTGGATACAGTAGTCAGGTTTGTAATGAAAATCCTAGGTCTATGAGCCTTTCCAGTTTACCAATTTATTATTATTATAAGAAACTTTGCTTTAGAATATGTCAGGAGAGCAGATAATGTCTGTCTGAGCACCTGATAATGATAAGGTCCATGGTAATTTTTCTGTTTAAAAGGATACCTACGGTCAATTTCAGTATTAATACTCCCAACTTTAATAGAGGAGTGAGTGAGCTTCTTAGATTAATACATTTTTGGGGGGATTGGTTTTTGCATAGTAAACATGCCTACCCTTTTCCTTAAAAAAAAAAAAAGTCTCTTGTAATACTAGGAACTAAACACTAAAAAATGATGGGGCCATTCAAACTCAAAGAAATAACTTTGGTCTTTGAGAAGTTCTTGTCTATTTACAACACTTTGTGTCACATAAGTTCCTATTCTTCATATGTAATTGCGTTCAGGGATCTAAAGTGACTGAAACAGGTTTGTTTTTAAGGGAGATTGTACAGTGTGTAGTTAAGCTCCCAAAATACCTGCTCTTTCATCTTTAATACATCTAAGGCTATATCCCTTCTCAGATTTATAATGTCAGAGTATAGAGATCTTAAGCATCAACAGTTAAAAAATTTCTTGGAGATTTAGCAGAAACTTAAATTCTGAGGGACAAATAGCACTAGTGTGCCTAATTGCACTATGGGGGATTGATTCATGAGAATGAAATACCACACTCATTTAGTTGTGTTTTTAAGTTTTTGAAACCGTTTCATCACATGCAAAAGGAAGAGCACCTTTTTTCTATATAAACTGTATGTTCAGGTGCCTTATAATCCATGATCATTTGAGAAAACAAATCTAAAATTGACTTGCCCTAAATAATAGCTTGAAAAATATTGTGTAATTTGCTCTTGTTTTTTAACTTAAATTAATCTAAAGCAGCTTCCAATTACACTTTTGAGCTTTAAATACTCATTTAGAATATTAGTCATTCAGTAGGAGAGAAATTAAACTATCTAAAAATATTTACTTTTACCTAGTTAATTTTACCAAAAGAGTTTTACAGTGAGAACTGGCAGAAAACTGTTGCTAAGTAGCAGCAACAAAGATTACCATTTACTCTTTCCCATCTCAGTCATCAATCATCAAATTGAATTTGCCTTAGTAGATGACAACCCTGTATTTTCCTACAAATAATCTTGGAACTGATCTTGGATCTATTCCTAGATGTATAATTTAGGTATATTTATATTAAATCTCTTATTTTTTTTTCTTGTGGGTTTAAACATGCTCGGTAAAATTAAAAGGATAAGACATCTTATGGAGAGATTAAACGTAGACAGAGCTAAAGCATGTATTTACCATCATGCCCTTCCTTAGTGATCCCAGATGAATTAGCAAAAATAAAATCTGAAAAGTTAAGATATTTAACATTATTACTGAAGGAAGCCTCTCCCCTGCCCTCCCAAATTGGATTTTCTCCCTGCTGCAGCCACCAGGGAATCTTTCCAGGTTCAACTAGTCATTCAGATTTGAAAGACCCAAATAGGCCACAGCTGCCTTTCTATTCACTTAGCAGGATATGGGCTGGGAACAGAAGCAAGGCTGACACCATCTGGAGAAGACTCAGTGGCTCTCAGGTGTCAGCTGAGGAGCAAGAGGAAGAGAGCCACCTCAGTGGGTCAGGGTCAGCTGCTTAGTAGTTCCAGGTTTTAGCTTCTTAAGAGCCAATATTTATTAACAAGTCCATGAGCAGAGTTGCAGAGTTCCTTCAGAGGACAAGAGTCACTGCACCCAGGGAGACTCTGGAACAAGTCTACCACTTTATTCACCATTTGCCCAATTCAAGTGCAGCTAAGAAATCAGAGCATTTTACTTTGGGGTTAGTAACACAGTTGACGTCCACCTTTTAAGGTTCCAGAACATGATTGGGGGGGTTCATGCAAGGTCAGCTTGTCTATGGTGCAGGCGGAAGGGCTTTCCTGACCCTTTACCCACACTTCATAACTAATGAGTTAATAAATTCTGTTCCTATTCTGCTGTGGAGGTAGCTTTTCTAATTCATTTCCAGCCACCTGAGTTCTCCATAGAATTATTTGGCCTATCTAAAAATCACTAATTTGCATTCTATAATACTCAGAAGACTGAGCCTCTAAGAGTGATCATCTATAGGGAAATAGTGCTCTTCCTTAGTGCTGAAAAACAAGGTCTTGGGGCTTTTAATATTTTTAGGATTTGTTGATGAGTCCTAAATCAGGCTGACTTTCTATATAAGAGGAGTTTAATATCTTCTCTGGTTAATTCCAAAGCATGTTGGTAATGAACTGATATCTACAGAGCATGTGTGTTGCTATCTTATTTCTTTACCAGGTATGCGTTGAGACTTACATATGTAGCTGTCACCAACGCAGTATAAACACTGCTGTGCGGGCAACTCTCAGTCAAATGCTGAGTGACTTGACCTTACAGTTACGACAAAGGCAGGAGAATACGGTGAGCCTTGCGGTCTCCACATGTTCATCACAGTCTTGCTGGTGTCTCTATGTGTCACTGCATGCCACGTGTCCCTACACAGCCCCTCCTGCCAGGGCTGCTTCCTGCTCAAACAGTGGGAAGTACTTGCTCGGTTTAAAAGAACATAGGTAGATAAGTAGGTGGGTGGGTAGGTAAGCAGGTAGATAGAGCAAGCCCTTTAAGTTTATTTTTGCTTGTTTCGCTCCAGATTTTTGAGTTGTTTTTCCCGCTGGTTTCTATCATTTTTAGTCATTATCTTCAAATTCACTCTTCTTTTTTTAATCAATTTTTAAAACATTTCAGACTGAAAAATTTTACATAAATTATTGTGATATATGAACAAATGCCAGAAGCAAATTCAAAAATAAGAAAAATGAATGTTGGTTAATTACAAACTTGGAGGCTTGTATATGTTTCTCTTTATTAACTTCTCTTTATTAAAGATCATGGCAGGTCTCCCCCACCCACAAATGTCACAGGCTAATGCTGAGCTTGTCTTCTATCTGTCATCCAAGCCCACTCAGCTTTGTGCTATCAACTGGAGCAGATTGCCTAAAAGGAGCATTCCCGGAAAAAAATGTAAATGTAATTGGCTTCTTGTATATATTACATTCTGGGAATGTTAATGAGATGATTCCTCTTCATAATTGGTGGATCTGTTTTTTTTTTTAAATCTGCCTCTGTTATAATTTAGGTTAAAATTATTTTTAAATCTACAGGAAATGCACTGAAATGAACATGCCATTGTTTTTTTAGAATAGAAAATCTCAGTGGCAGTTTGAAAAATCTCAAATTTAGAGATTAATCTCAGATTAAGATTTCATATTTAATTTCATTTGTTTCTAATTTTCACATTCAGTTATTTTCCAGTTTTTAGAATACCATGGAATTGAGTGGAACCTTAGTGATTAGTCAGATTCTTTTATTCCTCATTTTACAACTCATTTTACAACAGAGAGATGAAATTGAAATCTAGAATAAATGAGATTCTCAGTGAATGAGCCAGAACTAAACCCCTGGTCTCCTAATTGACTCCCAGTCCAGGTTATTCAGATGTGCCCAGGTTTCTAGTGTTAGAAAAACAACATTGATTTGAAAAAAACAAATACTTTTTTGTCTTAGTTTGTTATGTACAAAGCCTAAGTTTCTATTCAAACATTGTTTTATCTTGAGCTATTTTTATTCCTTTAGCTTACCTTTGTTAGAAATTACTTCATTTGTACAGGACTTTGGATACGGTAATGTGGGAACATTAGTTTAGAGGAAATTCAAATATATAAACACAAAATATTAAGAAAAAAGTAATTTTAATGGAAATCAGCTGAAGATACTGAGATGCCTTATATTAATACCCAGTCCATTTTGCTAAATGGCAACATGCTAAATACTGTAAGAGTAATAATATTTTGGTGTTTACCATGAAATAAGTGAGACTGTAGTTTCAAAGAGATGTTACTTAACATTAGTTCATTTAATTGCATATAAAAAAATTTTAAGTAGGAGAGTAATAGATTTCAAGTGAACTGACTCAACCCTGTAGTTCATGTTGCTCTTCTCTGAGGGGTAACCAGTATAGTTTGTAGAGGTCTGATAAGGCTGAAGGGTTTTCTGCTCTGTCCCCTGTATTTTGTGTCTAATTAGCCTTCTGGTCCTGCTCTCCACTGACCATCTGGACTCACCCCAACCCAAGACAGGATCCTCAATTAGGTGGAAAATTAGTGTTTCCTTTTATTTCCTTTCTGTTCCTCATGGAGCCCCTGGAGATGTTTTCATGTCCCAGGGAAACAAAATTCTCAGGTTGTTTGAAGCCTGTGTGAGGGACACATAAGTTTTGCCACCAAATGGTTATTATTAAAAAGCCATTAATGGGGAGTGTCATCAGGAATGGTGAGATTCACTCTAAGGAGGCCATGTATTGGGAGATTGTGTAGCCTAGCCCATCACTGGAGAAACATCAGAGCCATCTCTGAATTAGAGACTTAAATAGCATAGAAAGAAAATAAATCTAGAATGCCAGAGACATTAGCATGAAGCTTCAACCTAATGTTTATCCCCACCACATCCATGCTCCCATGGCACTTAAAACAATTTGATTTTGTGTTCTCAGATACTCTGAGTTATCATCAAGTTTTATTATTGAATTATTTAGTGACCAAAGTCACTGTTAAATTGTAAATTTCAAATAGCAAGATTGCTACTTGTAAATACTTGGGGGTGAGGGATAGTAATTCTCCCCTTTAAAATGATTCAGCTATATCTCTCTAGAAACTTATTCTAAATTTGAACTTGGCCATGCACTGAGTACAGACATTGCCATAGCATTTCATAAAGAATGTTGTGGAAGCACCTAAGCTTGCAAGTTAATGAACAGAAGAAGAAATATGCATCTATAAAATTATATTTCAGGGAAAATAAAACAACTATGTAGGGGATGATTCTACAGGTCTGGGAATCACAAAATTGCCCTTTTATGATTTCCCTGTACAAAGAGGTGGGGAGACTCTAGATCTTCCTTCCCACCCTGCTCAGTAGTCACTGAATTCCCCCTGCTGTGGGAAGTAAGACTTACTATTAGTAAATAACTTTCCCTTCCTGTGCTCTCTCCCCCTCAAGATCTGTCTCTGCCCTGATAGTTTTGGATCTAGAGTGATGATCTCATCAGACAGTTGGAAGAAATTAATATGGAACCTGGAAGCCTGATCATCTTAGGACTAAGAGTCTGTATTTGTTGTGTCAATCCAGTAGAGTCTGTGACCTTGGGATAAATTGTTCCCTATGCAACAGTAACTCACCTATTTAGGCATATATTGCCCTAAGTCATAGCACAGCACCTCGGAATGATAAAGCACACTATGGGCTTAAATTTGGGGTAAGTTTGTGGACTCTTGAAAGAATTATTTTTGGAACCTATAAGCTCAATTTCCAGACATCCGAGTCTTTTCATAAATACCAAGCACTGGAGAGGGCATGTAGGTAAGTCAGCTGAGGCCAGAACACTCACAATGACATTTCGTTTCCTAGAATTTCTCACTGCCTAAGACTCAAGATTTTTCTTGCCTGAATCTTCTAATTGTCCTGTGTGTCTCCCTTGCTAGATAATTGAAAACCCGGATGTCCCACAGGAATTCAGGAATCAAGGTATTGGATTTGATTTTCACTAATTTGGTTTAAAAAGACGGGCATGAGAATGCTCTGTGCTCGGTGCGGGGGATGACAGATGATTAGGAGTTCTCAGGTTCGTTTACCATTCTCCTCGGAGGTTTGCCTTACGTGATAGTATTTAATCAGCTGTTGTCTTCCTTCTGTTCCTGTGCTCCATGCCAACTACACCTATTCCTGTTCCAACTCTGCCCGGGAAGTTAACTCTTCACAGACCTTCAAGTTTGCAGACATTTTTTTAAGTTACTTCATTCTACCTGAAGCAGTTTTATTAATTGCTAAAATGAGAATTAGGTAGAAGTTTGTCGAAGCCTGATTGTTATAAAGTGCTATTACATGACAAGTATGTTTGCAAAATGCCATTTTTTAATATGAAAAATGGGACATCTTCCAGGGAATCTTGCAAAAGGACAGGCACCCATTTTAAGTAGCAGATGAAATCAAGGTAAAAAAAAAAACTTTCATTCTGACTCAGGAAAAGAAAAATAAAGGTCCACATTATAATTTACAAGTAGTTTGATTTTTTTTGAAGTTTGATAATATTGTTTTCTGGAAAAGATAATAATTGCAATCATTAGCTTAAAAAATTAAAATGTCTTATTTCAGATTTTAGTCAATAATTTTAAAAAATTGGGAAATTTTGCTTTTCTTTGAGATTTTTGCCAGTGAATAATGAAAAGAAGGCAGTCGGGGAAGAGAGAGATTAAAAGGGGAGGGAATGAAAGTGTGAGAGAGAAGCAAAGAAATGGCCATCACCAGGCAAAAGGCAGAAATGAAAGAAACAAGGAAGAGAAGTGCTTGAACCATTTTCCAAAGTTTTGCCCGAATGTTGTTGTTTTAGCCCCATCTTGCTACATTCTTGGGCTGTGGGCCAGAGAGCTATAGCACCCTTCACCCCTGGGGTTCATGCGTGGTCCCTTCCTGTCCATTACAAGTCCCATAAATGCTTCACTTTGGTGATTTTATAAACCAAAAGAGAAGTCAGAGTCCTCTTGGTCAATGATACATTTCTAAAATATGTATTAGTAAAAAGGTAATGGACTCATTTGAAGTTTAAAAAGTTAAGTTTAAGGACTATTTAGGGGTTTACTTTTATTTAAATTGTTTTATCATTTTACTGTATTTTTCCCTGAATTTAAGATCTTAAATACTGAGGATCAGCCACGGATTTCTCTTCCTCTCCTCCAACTTTTCTTTCATTTTCTTTCTTACACTTTTGCCATTTTTCTGCCATCTTTCTAGACCTCATGTTAATTACTTATTTGTACATTTATAAAATACCTAGCCAGTTTTGTATAGATCTTTATAGGTTTTTCTTGTATTTTTGATAATTAAAAAACACTTGTTATTTTACTTGATCTAACATTTTGATGAAATTAGTATTATTTATTCCACTTTGCCAAAGGGAATTTGGCAAATTTCTTTTAACCTAGTATAAGCTGAAATTTATCCAGCTCACAAAATCAGCAAGTTGTGGGCCTGTACTTCAACAGATCCCAAATTTCAGTCTTTTTCCAGTTAATACTAGAGCTTCTGTATGGAGTTGTATTGCTGGTTTCTAGACATGAGTGTGTTTGGAGGGAATTTTTTTTTTTCTGACTCTGGTTATTGCTCCATTAGCAGCAAAAACTGTGTGCCCTTGAGCATGCTGGACAAATGAAGTAGGTGAAGATGGTGACTAAATTATTTTGCCCCTTTCTTTAGTTTGCCAGTTCAGAAAGCCCATTTTTATCCCTTGTTGCCATATTCTGTCTGGAATACAACTCATATCCACTCAGCTGACCCAGAAATTTAAGAGGTCAGAAGAAGGGACACATGTCTATATAGTCTAATGGCCTGAATATTGGGAAAATAATCATCAGTTATTTCTTAAATTAACCAAATCTCCTTTCATTAAGTGAATATTACTTATAATAAGGAACAATCTAGTATTTTCTTTCTGGACTCTCTTGTGAGTGTCTTACTGTAGAAAAGAGTTATTTTTTTCCGGGGATTAATTTGGTGACCTAATTATTTTGTGGTCTGGAAAATATCCTGAGTGGAGAATGGGTTGGAGGGACACTCAGGGAGCTTTAGTGACCCTTGCCAACATTTAATGCCTGTAACCTCCTCTGTTTGAAGGGTCGACGGTCGAGGCCCTCTGTGATGACCTTGTGTCTGTGCTCTCTGTTCTGTGTGAGAAGCTACAAGCCTCCATCAGGTAAGTGCCATCAGTTCCCATGATCTGTTTCTGATGGTTGTCTACAGCGTTGCTTAAAGTCGCAGTTTATAGGGACAATGGTTCCCCCTGTTGGTATTCACCTGTCATTCCTGAGAAATATAGTCAGTGCCCTCTGGCAAGCCCACATTAACAAATACTTTTAATATGCTGAAGGATATAATTTTATAATGAGAAAATAGGAAAACAATACCTTGCAAAGAAGTTAACCCTTGAGTGTGGAACTTCATGGAAAGAGTGTTGGCTTAGATTGAGATGGTGTGTGGGCTGGTCCCGACCCAGGCCAGGCTAGGCCCAGCCGGGGAACTATACACATGAATCTTCTCATCAGACTGTGTTGTGCTTCCTGTTAAGTGACAGCATTGAACTGTGAGGTTTTTCTCTATTTCTCCTATTTTCTCTATTCTCTATTTCTCCTAACAGTCCTTGGGTCTGTGAGCTCATACACATCTCTTTGGAAGCCCAAAGTGCTATCCATTGCACGACAGAACCTCACACACATCTCTTTAAAAAGAATGTCACTCTAAATTTTACGTGCTTTTTATTTTTTTTAATGCCAGTTCAGTCGGTGACTTTGTTCATATCTGTGATGTCACTGTTCCTGCTCTCCAAAAGCTATCCGAGATGAGATGAAAAATCTCTACCAGCTGTCTGTTTAGTTACTTGCAAAATTCCACAGCCCTGTCTGAGTCTGATGTCCTTTTGAGTTATAAAAGACACATCAAATTATGATTTACTAGTAACAGGGATGTTTGGCAACTTAAAAATCTCTTGCTTATAGAGATTTATATATACTAATGAGCAGGGAGAAAGTAGTCCAGTCATAGGCATGGACAAGGGTTCTTGCCTTGTTGGAAAAATTGCAGAGTTGTGTTTGTTGTTTGGGCTTTGTTTTTCAGTTTTTAATTTAAGCTTGAACTTAAAAGTCTTTGCCAAATGGTTTCTACATCAATTTATCCATTCATTCTTCCTCTAGTTCACCTGCATATTTCACCAAATTAAGCTCTCCTTATGTCAGGCACTTGGAAAATGAAGAGATTTAGTAGGTAGATAGAATGAAGTCAAAAAGTAGTAACACTTCCTCCACATCCTCTAGTTTCTCCCATCCCCGAGCCTCAGGCAGGCTGCAGGTCTAGGCATTATTTTCTCATAGGAGGGATGTGTCTGACAGCAGATGGGATGTGAACCACTCCACTTGTACCCTGTGCAGGGCCCCATCTTTGCCCGCCATGAAGAATGGGAGCAGTAGGACTGAGGCTCAGATCATTAGCTGAACCTGAGGGCTCTACAACCAGTCCTTAGGGTCCCCATGCAAACTAATATTCTCGGCACAATCCCAAATTATGTCTGTTGTGTATGAGCATAGGCACCCTCCTTCACTCTCAACAGCGCCCTGGCTGGCTTAGTGTATGTGCTCACTCCGCACGTCCATGACCAGGGTGTAGAGCTCTTCTAGTGTTAACTGTTCCTGGTAACCTCTGACCAGTTCCTCTTCATCCTCACAGAGCCAGCTGCTACATTAGAACCAGGACATGTTTCTCATTGACTTGTTTTCCTAAGATGCAGGCATATGTGATGTTTAATCACTGTTGGCTCAACTGCATTACTTTGTCGGGTTACCTGGACGGGACCCCTGTTCTGCCTCTTACTAGATCTTGACTTTGGGCATAACTCAGAACCACTCTAGGCTTACGTCTCCTATAAAATAACTAATATATTATTTACTATTACAGTTATAATGCTCTATGGTACACAATATTAATAATATAAAGGATATTAGGGGTTTTGTAAGGATCAAATGAGAACATTCACTTAAAAGACTGATGCCCAGCAATCACCAGCCAAAGAGTTAACAGAATTAGGTTGATGAGTGTGTAGTGAGGCAGCCGGTACACTATGGGAGCCACAGGGCACACTGCAATTGGGTGTTGGTAAGACTGTTAGAGGATTTGATCCTGACTTATCAGGTGGGTTAAAGGAGCTGGAGGTCTGCTCTAGGACTCGGAGCAACTCTGGCCTCTGCACATCTCAGTTTTTATCTCACCAGTAAGAGGAACAGATCGGAGCTATAACTGTCATTGGAAAAAAGAACAAGTGCTCACTACCTGGGAGTAGGTTCTTACCTAGAGGAGGGGAACAGTTTATCATTTTTGTGGTTATAGAGGAGAATTGTTTAATCAATTGGGTGTGATGTCAATGGGCTTGCTTCTTGTTCCATCACCATGGTGGAGAGTCTTCATCTGATGTTAACACTATGAAATTTCTTTTGTTTACTGGGTAACGTATGCTGGTGGTGACTTAGGCAGGTGCAGCTGTCAAGGATGTGTCTTTTCTGCTTCTATCCTCGTAGGTCTTGCATTGTCAGGAAATAAAACAAAGGCCAGAAAAACTTTGAAAAATATAAAAGCTGTATTGTTCATTACTTTGCAGACAAGGGAGAACAGAATCCTAAACATTTCTTTCTGAGCAGTTTGATAAAGGAAAAATGTAAAAATTATAAATGCTCCAAAGAGGGAGAGGTGTATCTTACGGTAGTTATGCTGTTAATAATTAAAATCTGGCCTCAGGATACATTTGTAATGAGTCTGTAGGCTTATAAATGAAAGCTTTAAAACATACCATTGTTCATTGGTTGGGAAAAAAGTCTTCAGTTAGTCCAGGTGTGGCACCTGGGGCTTAGGTTTTTTAAACCTGGATGGCTCCAATAGCAACTTCAGGGACCCTCCATCTGTCGGGTGGCCATAGGACTGGTTTACTTGAAACAGTCCAATGATATGCTCATTGTGCAATTACTATGGACATTCAGCATTGATATCTTCTGGGAAGTACTACTATATGTGGATTTTTTTTTCTGCTCAGCATATAATAAATATTTGATGCGGTTTGTTTGTTTTCAGAATTATTGGTGCTAATTCTCGTTTATGGTGTAGTTGTGAACACTGAACTTCTGACATCAGAAATTTGAGTGTAGAGTGCTAGGAAAATACTCTGCAGAAGCACACATTTCACATGCACACATACATCTGCTGAAAGTAAAGTTCATAGACTGTCAGTCACTGTAAAAATTGGAAGTGTTCCTGAACCATGTGGCTTGAGGTTAGGCTTTCCATGGGAAAGTAGTTCGTGTGACACTGATAGTTTTTCAAAGGTTTCTCACTGGACATTGAATCAAAGGTGACTTTAGGCATTTATTATGGAGCTTAATGGTTTTATAGGATTCTCATAGTCTTGCTTAGTTTTTCAATGTGATTGCCCTGTCATAATTCTGCCTCTAGAGACTGTTCACTTGTTTGATTATGGTCTTAGCCATCAGCCCTCCATTACCCTAAGGTAGGGATTTTATTGCTAAATAAGCTGGGCTTGCGCTTTATAACAGGAGACCTTGAAGTCCACTGGTCAGATAGTCCCATGACCTTGGCTGGACTCACTTTTGTGGATCCATTTATTCTCTGTTAAGTTTATTTTAAGTTTCTTCTGATTTCACTGCCTTAACTCTTTTTATTTCTATTTCTCCCTCTGAAATCATCCTTAGGTCTGTATGGTCCCTCAGCAAGCATGTCCGAAATCTGCCCAGCTATCTCCTAGGGCATTGACTCTGTATATACTCGCTAGCTCTGTATCTATTCAGGACATGTTCAGTTTCAGGAGGATTCAGAAAAATGACTCGAGAACCCACAGTAACTCACATGCCTTGGAGCTGCAGTGTTAATAGAGCTCTATATTAGGCAAGCTGAGTTACATGATGCTGCTTAAATCCAAGAATTTTTGGAAAGATAATTGGACTTAGAAAAATATCCATTTTCTGCCTGTTTGTCTCCCACCCTCCTCCCTCTCTTCTCTCTCCTTCCAGTAAAGAATGTCAGGGGAATCTCTACCAAAACAGTCTAGAATCAATGAGGCAAGGCTAAGGGTTTATGCTGTGTGTTCCGATTCTGTTTCACACCTTATACAACTAACACCCTCTGTCCTTTTAACAAATTCCATTAAGTTTCTAAGGGATGCAAAGTGAAAATGGCTCAAAGGAAAAGAAAAATCTAAAAACTCCAGGGATCCAGGACATGCTGCCATATTGCTCTAACAGTGACCGTGCCAGGATGGACGGCTGCTGAGCTTTCATTGCCCACAGGTCCCCTCACTCGAGTTTTTCTCCACGAACCATGAGGAAAGAGTGAGATCAGCAGATACTCAACCTGCCAGCCATGAAATGCTTACTTACACAGAAGACTAAGCAAAGTGACTCATACCTCTGCTAAGTAAGCAGATTTGCCCTAGTGTGTTTTGAAAGAATTGGTTGGTTTCTAGGCTCCTTCTGCCCTGTGCATTCTACGTATCTGTCTGTCTGTATTCAGACAGACAGGAAATGCACACACATGTGCATTATGCATATGTGCGCCTAGTGAGGGCCATGTGTGGCAGGCACCCACATTTCCAGCAGCTCCTTAAATGACATGACTCATGCAAGGCCCCAAGCACCCATATTTCTAGACTGCTGCAGCCCACAGAAAAGCTGCCACGTTCTGTCTCCAAGGAGACTGCCAGGCCAGTTACCGTGGCAATGCCTTGCGTTGTCATTGCATCTGATGCCTTGGGGTTGCCATGACACGCTTTGCAGATAGACGGGCACCTTGACTGCTCACTAGCTTTTTTCTGGGTTGATTTTAAGTGGTTTCAGAAATTGAGAATATTCAGTGTCTATAGTTAAAATTTTGGTTTTGTAATGCTAGACTGACAGTTTGAGAGAGAGAGACATGTTTGACCTGGGATATTTAATGATTACTTTCTTAATGGGTCAAGCATATGATCAGAAAGATTAGCCAGATGCTAAGGCAAAGGCAGTCCTTACTGAACTGATCTGTTTAAATGTGCTTACCAGTGAGTAGCCCTCCTATTTCACTCTCTCCAATCTGTTCATTTTTACAACATCTAGAATGATCATTCTAAAGCAGAAAGGGGGCCATGTCACTCTTCTCACAGAATGAGGTCCAGATATCCTAGCACAGCACACAAGACTATTCCTGACCTGGTCCTGGCCACCTCCCCAGCCCACCTCTTGCTGATGACATCTACTCTGCTCCAAACATACGCACACAAACCCTCCCCTAAAGGAATCTGTGTGGCAGATTCCTACTTGAATATCTGGCCTCTACTAAGATACTGTTTCCTTTGGAAATTCTGCATCTTTCTAAAAAGAATGGATGCTACTTCTCTGTGCTCTCATAAAAACTGGTGTGTAAGCATTTGTGTGTAACACTGCTTCCACATGCTTAATCTGCTTGCTTACTTGTCTCTCTATGAAGAAAATACTGTTTTGGGCAGGAACTATGTCCTGTTCAAAAGTATAGGGAAGCTTGTGGGCGTAGTAGTGTAGGGCCTTACCTGGCCTAAGAATGGCTAGTGATTTCTCACCTCTCTAACTCTTCCCCCATCCAGCCTTACTCTTGGCAAATGGTAATTTTTTAGAGACTCATCCTCTATCCATCTTCTACTACCCGCAGAGGGTGTGGTTGGGTACATCCAGGTAGAAACGGAATTGCCTTATGTGAAATAATGACATTACTTTAACCTTAACCATTGCCCTGTTAATCACTGTACAGTGAGTTGTACCATTCTCTTTGGATGAGGGAGATTGTTTTAGACTATGGGTCAGCAAAATTTTTCTGTAAAAGGCCACATTGGGTCTCTGTTTCCTTTTTGTTATTGTTTCTGTTTAGATTTATAAACCTTTGAAAACAAAAGCTGTTCTTATTTCACAGGCCAGGATTTTTGCCCTTAGTCTGTGGCCTGGCAACCAGTTTTAGAACAAGTCAGTTTTATAGACACATCACAGGGCATTTCACAGAGCACTCAGTGAGGGCTAAGGCCCCAGCTTCCTCTGCTCTGCCTGTAGCTCACAGCCTTCCTCACCTTGACAGTGTGTGGCCTTTGGGGCCCTGGCCTTTGGGATGATCTGGTATTAACTCTTCTTCCTTCCTGTCTCCTTCATCTTCCAGTCTGCCTGTCCCTGGCCTGCTTTTCCCTTCTACCCCTTTCTCCTGGGGGTGATTTGTAGTGTTGAGGGCTTCAGCCTTCCTTTTGGCATGTATTTACTTTTAATTAAGAGAAAAGAGATACAACCAAAAGTCATTTTTAAAAGCAAGTTTCTTCCTCTTCTAAAGTCTTCTCATAGAATTCATTCATTCATGAATCCTATAAATTTTTATTTTTTAAAGATTTATCTATTTATGCACACAAGAGCTGGGATACAGGCCAGAGGTGTGGGGAGTGAGAGGATTCACCAGAGACAGAGTAGGGAGCAGAACAGGCAGATTGACTGAAATACACTGGTGAGGGGAACAGCAGGCAAGTCAGGAGAGGTCTGCTGTGCAATGTGGATCAGCTCCCTGTCCAGCTGGAGATCAAATTCGTGCTACGGTGCTATAACTCGTGCTATAGTGCTGCAACTTAACCCCTTAAGCCACCAGGGAGGCCCTCTTATACATTTTTTATTATGTATTTGTAGCAATATCTCTTTGAATATTAAATTCTTTCTCCCTTCTGTCATTCTTGCAATTCACCTGGGATTTAGATATGTCTAGTCTGGGCAGCAAACTTAATCCGGTTAAAAGAAAGTCCAACCCATCGAGTTGTCTATTGTTTTCTGCTTCTGTTGCAGAACCCCATAGTAAAAATTTTGAGAAAAAAGAATTTATTGAAAAATCATGTTGCCTTCAATAAAGAAAAATCAAGTGCAAGTTAGTACAGTGTTGACTAATGTAAAGATAATGTGATAAGTGATTTCTTGAAAGGCTTAGGCAATTAAACGTGCTAAGAATTAATATTTCTGGGATAAACATTGGAATTTAGTTAATAGTATATCAGTAATTGTTCTTTAATGGTAGCAAATATACCATGCCAATGATAGATGTTATTAATAGAATAAACCATGTGCAGGGGTGTAAAATATGGTAACACTATTCCATGTTCAGTTTTTCTGTAAATCTGAAACTGTCAGCAAAAATCTGCCACCCCAAAACAGGTCTTTTGGCAAAAGGTTTTGATTTCATGGGAGAAGCTTTAAATGCTGGGAAGAGGTTGCTTTTGAAAAAGACTTTCATGTGTAAAATTCTCTCCATAAGGAAGACCTGATTCTTTATTTCTTTTCAATGGAGAGGGTAGAATTTCATTCTGTCTACCTTCTTTTCCTGTGTAGTCTTTTCCCTTTCCTCCCCCCAACCTCCCGACTCAGCAAAACCATTTGAGATAGGCTCTGAAGCCATGTAATGGGCTCCCCAGTTTTACTGGGCCTCCCTTGTATAGAGGAGGTAGACATGATCTTATCAGCTTTTTGGCTTTTTTTCTCTTACCAATCTTTCTGATGCTTGTTTGATACTGTCAGACTGGAAGTACCAACAGGGATAGAAGGTGATTTCCTTTGTCCTTCAACCATTGTAAAGTTCACTAATACAGTCATCCTAACTATAGTAGTTTGCTAGGGCTGACATAATAACACAGTACACAAACCGGATGGCCTAAACAACATAAATGTATTGTTTCACAGTTCTGTTGGCCAGAAATCCAAGATCATGATGTCAACAGTCAGTTCCTGTTTGGAGCTGGAAGGGAAGGATCTGTTCCAAGCCTCTGTTCTTGATTTTTAGCAAGCTCAGGCATCATCTCCCTATGTCTCCTCACATTGTCTTTCCTCTGTAGTTAGCTCCATGTCCAAATTTCTCATCTTGTAATGATGAGAAATCCAATATTTATATTGGATCAGGGCCTACCCTAGTGACTTCATTTGAACTTGATTACCTGTGTACTAACCCTTTCTCCAAATAAGCTCACATACTCAGCTAGCTGGCATAGACCTTCAGAATGTGAATGGAGGGGAGGGGCAAATGGGACACAGTTCAACCCATAACACTAAACACTACCCCTCAAATTAACACTTCTGTAATCCCTGCCGTTTTTCCAAGTGTTTTCCACATGTCACTACTTGAACTCTGCTGTTACTCTGTGTCTGCATGTCCTTCTCCTGCAGTGACAATCAGCAGCTACAGCTCCTGTTCCTGGAGTGCATCCTGTCCATCCTCAGCAGCTGCTCCTGCACCATGCACCTGCACAGAGGCTTCACAGACCAGATCTGGTGAGCACTCATTACTGTGTTCCCCGCCCACCCAAAGGGCTCACTCCCTCCAGCTGTATCTGCAGGTCCCTTCTCACAGCGTGCCTTTCACCTATGTGGAAATGCTTTGGAGGAAAAGTAGGCAAATTGCTCTGCTTACATACCCCACACCAAAATAGACTGATGATTACTATCTCAAAGCATGTGATAAGTTCCAGTTGCATTTTATTGACATTATAGGGTCATGAAACTCAGAAACAAGGATCTTATTTCCTAGGTTTTGATTTTGTTGGTTTTTTTCAATTTCCTTTTTTTAATTTTTGCATAGAATAACTGGGGTGTAGGCCAGAGGTATGGGGGGGCTTGGTAAGAGGATGCATCAGAGACAGAGTGGGATTTACTGAAATACACTGCTAAGGGGAGTACCGGGCAAGACAGGAGAGGACTGCTGCGCCATATGTGAGTCAGCTCCCTCTGGGGATCGAACTCAGACTGTAGCAGTGATAGCAGTGAGACTTTACCCCTGGACCACCAGGGAGGCCCTTGGTTTTGTTTTAAAAGCATATAAAGGCATAAGCCAGAAGGAGAAAGATAAATTCTGGATATCTCACTTATATATGGAACACAGAGAAACCAAACAAAGGGGCAAAAAAAGACAAACTATTAAATCAGTCTATGAAACCTGAGCCATCCACAGAGGAAGGGCAGGGGGAGGAGCAAAAAGAGGGTGGGGAGCGAGCTCAGTGGACTAAGGTGGAGGACTGTGGGTGCACTACAGTGACTGCAGGGAAGACCCTGTACTTCCAAAATACTAACAATGACATAAACCAATAGTACTTCAACAACAACAACAACAACAACAACAAACATTTAAGTCTATAAAGGCACCAAAAAGTTATCCAGTGCGGCAAGAACTCGTGAATATTATTCTTAGCCCAACCATGGTATTTCCTTCATCTCGACCTGAGTACTTATCACTTAATCCTAGCCAGACACTCACACAAGTAACTGTCACACAAGGTGTCACTGGTTGCTCTGACTTCCTGCATTTATTGACAGAGAGCAAGTGAAATGATATGTGGAATATGCGATATGACAGAATTTTAAATTAACTTTTAAAATAAGAAGTATAAGAAGCTGTGTTATTTATAGTAAAATGAATAAACTTTAAGACCTAAGCCATTTAGCATTTTGAGTATTTCTTCATGAGTCTATTTTTTTCATGTAAGGTGGTTTCTTAATACTTGTCAATCTTTTTTTAGTTAAGCCTCTCTTGAGAGGAAAAGCATTCCATTGGTGTACCCAGAAGAGATGGGGTGGCATGGGTTATGGGGGTGGGGAATAGAATGGCGTCAAAGGAGGCACAGTGAACACCCCAACTCTCAGTCATTTTTGTGGCATCAGGAATGTACTCACACCCTCGGGATAGCTCTCACATTCTATCACTTGGCCTGTGTGACACTTTTCCTCCTGTCTCCTCCCAGGAAAAACCTTTGCCCTGCTCTCATCGTGATCCTGGGCAATCCAATTCATGACAAAACCATCACCTCTGCTCACAGCAGCAGCGCAAGCACCAGCATGGAGTCAGACTCTGCCTCTCCGGGGGTGTCTGACCATGGCCGGGGGTCAGGCTGCTCCTCCATTGCACCAGCCTTGAGTGGGCCTGTGGCTCGGACCATCTACTACATCGCAGCTGAGCTGGTGCGGCTGGTGGGCTCAGTGGACTCCATGAAGCCCGTGCTCCAGTCCCTCTATCACCGCGTGCTGCTGTATCCCCCACCCCAGCACCGGGTGGAAGCCATCAAAATAATGAAGGAGGTAGGGAGTCACTGAAGAATGCCACCAGGTGTGCCAGTGGATCTGAGCAGTGCTTGCATGTGGGCCGACTCAGAAAACAGCTCCTGTCACTTGCTGGAACTTAATTGCTACCAAACACAGAATCCAGTAGCTAGCAGTATCATTAACTTTGGGGTGCGTGCATGTGGTGGGAGCCAGGAAAGGGGGGTGATAAGTGTTTACTCACACAAAGCCTTTTGATTATTTAAGCTGCCTGTTCCTGGGTTCCAGGCCACCTTAGGTACTGTTGGTACAGATAAAAGTTTTTCTTTATGGTCCCCAAAATTGGGTTTCAAATGATTTTATACTCAGTTTCTACATCACCTAACAATAAGCATAACGGATCAGGGATTACTGAAAGAGGAATCCCTTTGCCTTGTTCCTTCTTGTGCCTCCTTGTCTCAAACCCCATGACCCCAGAGACAATGAGCAGGTTGCCCAGCTTTTGATAGCAACCTCAGTGTACTACCGCATGGCTCTGAAGAGGAATTCGGGTTACTTTGAAGGTCCTTCCAGCAAGGGTTCCTCTGTTTTCCCTCAAAGAACCAAAAAGCCACCAACCTTTTTGATTTGTGAACTTGTTTGTGAAGGTCAAGTTGCATGTGATTTTGTTACCTAACAAAAAAAGGAGACAGAGAATCAAAATTCCCTTGATGACCACTGATTTTAAGTATTATTTCCTACTCACCTGTTTCTTTTAAAACCTTAATTTAAATTGCATCTTGGTATTGTTTTAATGATATTTGATGGTAATGAGTAGTGGAATGTCTGACCCAGTATTCTTAGAAAAGAAAGAACAGTCCAGATTTAAGTGCTGACTTAAAAACCTATGAACACATAGGGCCCCCCCTGGTGGTGCAGCGGTTGAGCGCTGGGCTGCAAGGCTGCCCGCAGCCTCTGCAGCGCTGGTTTGTTCCCCAACCGCCGGCGAGGGTCCCACCAAAAAAAAAAAAAAAAAAAAAAAAACAACCTATGAACACACAGTACTAGCTGCATTTTTTCTTGACTACTGTATGCCAGGCACTTTACATATGTTATCTTCAATATTCATAATAGCTTTGTGGGGTTGTGTACCAACTTTCACCCATGAAGAATGTTGCTACTCTTCCCCATCAGAGCTTCAAGCAGAGAAATCAAAGAGTCAGCTTTAAAAACTTAGCACTCCAGGCCAGTGAACACAGTACAACTTTGGAGGCGAGTGAGACTAGCTGACATCAGCACCACCACACAGAGTGACCCTCTCCTCAATACCCACCGCCTCTCTTAAGCTCCTAGTTGGCAGAAGCAGAAATGCGTTTCTCTGAATAGGCTGATCTCCAGGAAGAAGTGGGAGGAGGGGATTGCTGTCCAGGCTAAGCTCCTTCTCCAGAATTCACCAGTCATATCAGAGACCCCCCATCACCATAATTAAGAAGTGAGTGAAAGGGAGGTGAGGTCTGCTGGGTGTTCCTCTTTAAAGAAGCATGACCCCAAGGAGGAATTGTTCCCACCTGTGAAGAAATGAAGGCTTTAAGGGTCAGATCACCTGCCCAAGATCACAAAAACAAAGATTGCAAATGCTGATCTTTCTGGCTCTCAGCTGTGGTCTTTTCCTTTACCGCACTTACTACTGCACTTGACTTCCTTATTGCAATGCAAGTGAGTCCAGCAGCCTCTTCCTTGTTCAGCTGACCTGTCATTAGCCTGAATTTAAGGGTCAGGGTGCAAATCTTGTCTCTGCTGCTCACCGGCTGGATTACAGTAGATAAATCATTTCACCCAGCTATCATGTTCTCTTCTGAACATCATAACAATTTGCTAAGGTTCAGTTCAAAATGGAGTGGTAAGTATAAAGCGCAAAGTATGTAGTAATACTTCTTGCCCCCTCAGGAAGAGAAAACAAAACAGAGACCAAAAGTGGCAGGTGGTTGCTGCCTCCTTCCTGCAGTGGTGTGCCAGCTCTGTAGCTGGTGTCCTGGTTTCCTGTTCCTTTCATCTCCCTGGCATATGGTCATAGACCACGGTTACCAGTCCGCTCGTAGTGCCTCTTTATTTCCTCTGCCCTCAAGTCTGAAGTACTCTGCCAGCTTCCAGACACTGGTCATTCTCCTTTCCACACTTCTCAGGATGCAGTCTCAGCCACTGGCCTGACGTGCTCTTCCTGGTTCCCACCTGCCTGCCTCTGTTCAGGTGCCTCTCCCCTTGTCCCACTGCTGACTTCCACTTAACAGAGCCGACTCGCTGGTTACAATAGACTAGACACTGCTGGCACCTTGCATTAACTTATTTACAAACTCCCTTAGGAAGATAACATTATACACATTTTCTATATGGGGAAGCTGACACTCCTTGACGAGAAGCTGCTTACCCCAAATCCCTGTGAGTAGCAGGACTAAAACACCACCCAGATGCTCTAAGCACATCTGCCTCTTTGCTGTCAGAGAGGCTCTGCTTCCTCAGACCACTGACGTGCTCTTCTGTAATCCTGTCCCACTGTGTAACAACTGATTCTATGTCCCTTGTGCTGATTGTTTCACCATAAAATGTGGGACAAGCTGCTGTTCTCCTCCAGTATATTTTTGAATCCTCAATTCCTTTGGTGTGTTTTCCCCTGGTGTCTAACACTAGAGTGCTTGACTCTGAATAAGTGTTTGCTAACAGTTGACTGATTGACAGATGAACCTCAAGGCAGAATATTTGCGAAGAGAATATTTTGTAAGCAGCAGCAACCTTTCTATTCCCTCAAAATTGACAGGCTCTGGAGTTGGCACTGCCCACAGGAGAGCCACTTGGTACCCAAAGGCTAAGTAAATCTTCACCTGGAGAGTATATAGCTATCTAGATGACGGTCAGTAATGACTTCTTTACTGCAGTGCAAGGAATGTGTTGTGTTTCCCCCTCTTGCGCAGATTTTCTGGCTTCCCAAAGTGACTTTGCAAGGCTGGAATTAGACAACAGCATCAGAGTAGCATGTCCAGCGACACCGCCCTGTGGCACACAGCAGACAGCACGAGCCAGGTGGTTCTGTCAAGCACTGCTGCTGGTTACTATAACAGCACCAATAATTTGGGAAAATTGGTAACTTGGAAACCAGATGTATATGGGTTAGGCACAGAGAAAACCATTAGGTGCCCAGGATATTTATTTAGCCTTTTGGAGTTTGAAGGCTTGGTGTGTTAAATTTCCCTGTTCTTTTTCTAATTTGTCACTCAGCTGTATAGGCTATGTACCCATTAATCAAAGACAAACAGGACCTTTTGTTTTCCAAGGTACATTTTCTTTTCTGTTTCCACTTTCTCAGAAAGAGAGAACAAAAAAATTCATCTTGTTTCCTTTTCTGCTCGCTCATGGTTTAGCATTGGAAGGTGTTCCCTGGTCTTTGTCAGACCTAGGACACCCCAGTCACTGTACCATGTCCCTCATTCACACCTAAAGAAGCTGAAAGTAAACACATCTTGCCTTTTTTAAGAATCTGTTGAAAGTTCTTCACAAGTCTTATCACTGTTCTTTTTCCCTCCAGATTCTGAAGTGACAAATAAACAGATTAGTGTAGAATTAATATATATCATCTAATTTATTACTGGTAAGGTTGGATTAGAGAATGTAATGGGATCCCAAGGGAAGGTGAGATTTCCCCCTCCTGTCTCCCTGCAAAGCACTTACCGTAACTTCTGGTAAAAGATGGGGCAGCTGGAGGCCCACTTCACTTGGATACAGGTGTGGTGGGGAAGGGCCGGGAGAGAGACAGATTTCAGTACTATCACTTCTCTTCAGAGCTTAAAGAAATAAAACATAGAGAGAAAAAGTAGAAACTTTATTTCTGTTCTCCCAGAGAATAGAAGTTCCCAATTTTTAGGGTAGGAAAGAAATACAGAAACAGGAAGGAAGAATGCATCTTAAGATTTCACTCTATCTTTTCCTGAATCTAAATCACTTTGAAGACAGTGGACATGGTCATCGTACATCTGCTCCAGTACACTTAACTAGTCTCTTGTTGAGTTAATGTAGTCTCAACTTGAAATTTTCTGTCAAGACTTATACCATATGGAAATAAAAATCAGTTAGAGTTGAATTGTTTTAAAAATTATGTAAATGTGGGATAATACCCAAATATGCAGGGGGTCTTTATAGCTTCAATATTCAAAAAGTAGAAAATCTAAGATTAATGCTCTATTTCTTGAATGTAGGTAGTTGGAAAAATGGCAAATTCAAAGAATTTAGAAAGGAAGTAGAAAGTAAAAAGGAAGACAAATAAGGATAAAAATAGAAAGTAATGTGATAAAAAGCAAATACAATATAGTAGAGCAATTAAGTGAAAAGACTCAGAAAATTGAAATAACTCCTGGCAAAAGCAATCAAAAAAATCCCAGTCTACACAAACCAAACAAAAATAAGAATGTAAAAGCTATGACAATAGATGGCACATTTTTTTAGTTGAAGCAACACTGCATTATAGTAAGTTTTACTTATAGATCATTAAAAATCAGCAGGTGTATATGCAATATTAAATTCACAACTATCTTTCACTATACCTTGTCCCCTTTGTTACCCATCTCTCCTCCCCCTTCCCTTCTGATAATCACTAACTGGTCTTATATTCCAAAAGTTTATTTCTGCTTTATTTAGTTTATCCATTTGGTTTTTTTTTCTCTCTTTACTGCATGAGTGAAAGCAAACCATGTTTGTCTTTCTCTGACTTATTTTACTGAGCATAACACCCTTTGGGTCCATCCACATTGTTGCAAATAGCAGCATTTCATTTAAAGACATTTAAAGACAGAGTTTTAAGGCACTATAGGCCAGTGAATTTGAAAACTTATACAGAACAGATACATTTCTAGGAAATAACACCTTTAAAAAGATGATTCAAGAAAAAAATTGAAAATCTAAATAGTGCTGTCATCTTTAAGAATACTGAATCAAAAGTTAAACTCTTTCCATTAAAAAAAAATTTACTAATTCCATACAACATAAAAACAAGTTATACCAATATTCAAGGGATGGATAATTGTAATAATGTATGAACTTTTACAGAGCATAGATAGGAAGATACTGCTTAACCCCACTTTGAAGCTAGCCAACTTAATAGCAAAATAAGACAGAGAGTAAAAGAAAGTTTAATTACTGGCCAGTCTCACTTTAGGCCATAGAGATAAGTACTTTCTAGTTCTGTGCTATATAACTTTTTAAAACAATCTCAAATCATTTTCATTGTCTAAACCAGTCCTATAATAAAGAACTGGGAATCCAGTATACAGGCTATGTCACAAACAACACCAGGATTAATTTTAATTAAGGTTTGTAATTCCAAACTGTGTTTCTCCTTAGATTGTGTCACTCAGTAGAGGAAGTACATGTTTATTTGATCTCATAATTTTAACCCCTTGTGCTTTTCTGTGATACTTTTTTTCTCCCTGCAGACAAAGCCTATTAAAATGTTAGTAGATCAATATTGTAGATCAATACTCAATCAGATACTCACTTTTCTGTTCTATTTTTTTCTTAAAGCTACTTGGGAGCCCACAGCGTCTCTGTGATTTGGCAGGCCCTAGCTCCATCGAATCAGAATCCAGAAAAAGATCAATTTCAAAAAGAAAGTCTCATCTGGATCTTCTCAAACTGTATGACACAGTCCCCTTTATGTTCTATACTGCTTGGTGAAGATTGCTTCTATGAATACCCTTAACATTGTTTCCAGATCCCCAAAATGTCTATGAATCTGTTATATGGAATGTGACTATTTAGTAATGTACCGACAAGTCATATGAGAAGTGTTTTATTTTATTTTTTTGTATTTTTTTTACATCATTTTCTTTTTTGTACAATGTATGCATTTTCTTCTCGGCTATAGTCCCCATGACATTCCCACCACCCGTTCACCCGTGCACCATCACCACAGTCCCTTGTGCTCTTCCCACCCCTGTTTTGATCCTTCTTCCTTCTGCCTCCCCAGCAGAATGTCTCTGGTTTATAGTTGCCTGTTGAGATATGAGAAGTCTTTTCACAATTTATTATAATCCTATAAATTTCCATATTTTCATATCTATTTAAAGAAAATCCAGTGTACAAAATATGCAAACATTATTCATTGAGGTTATTTTAGGAAAAAGCTTTTTGAATCACAATACCATAGCTATAGGGTTCCTTTATCTCTAGCCCCCCTAGAAAACTGTGTATTATCTGGTTTGTAATAGATGTGTTCATATGCATCTGTTCAGGAATACATTTATTTTATCACAGAAGGTCTACATTATCATACAGACATTCTAAGCATATTCCGTTTCAAAAATGAGCAGATTGCAAAAGTAGATTATTCAGTGCCTGTCCTAGTGAAGATCATAAATTCCCATCCAGGATTTTTGTTTGTAGCCAAGTAAAGAGAGAGACTCCAGGTGGACCTCTTCCCTGGTCTTCCTCTGCCAGCCTGAGCATGTTTGTTCCAGTCATTGTTCATTTGATTTTTGCCCTGACCATTTAATGTCATGTAAATTAGAGTGTTTCGAATACTGTACAGACTATACACTATTCAGTATATCCTTTCAGCTCACACTCTACTTTGAGTCAAACAGTTACTCACTTGGGGGTGTTTTTCTGTGTTTCACATGTTGCTATCACCTTCTCCTCTGAACGCTGCAGCATCATGGATGGCATGACAGAAGCATGCATCAAGGGCGGCATCGAAGCGTGCTATGCCGCCGTGTCCTGCGTCTGCACCTTGCTCGGGGCCCTTGACGAGCTCAGCCAGGGCAAGGGCTTGAGTGAAGGTCAGGTCCAGCTGCTGCTGCTGCGCCTTGAGGAGCTCAAGGATGGAGCAGAGTCCAGCCGGGACTCCATGGAGATCAACGAGGCCGACTTCCGCTGGCAGCGGCGAGTCCTATCCTCGGAACACACTCCATGGGAGGCGGGGAATGAGCGGAGCCCTGACATCAGCATTAGTGTGACCACGGACACAGGCCAGACAACTTTGGAGGGTGAATTGGGTCAGACAACCCCCGAGGACCACGCCGAAAGCCACAAGAACGGCCTCAAGTCGCCAGCCATTCAGGAGAGCAAGGAGCTTCTGAGCAAAGTGTCAGAACCAGAAGCCGTGGACCAGCCAGATGTCGTCCAAAGGAGCCACATGGTTGCCTACCCTGACATAACCAACTTCCTGTCCGTGGACTGCAGGATTAAGTCCTATGGGTCGAGATATAGTGAAAGCAATTTCAGTGTAGATGACCAAGACCTCTCAAGGACAGAATTTGATTCTTGTGATCAGTACTCAATGGCCGCAGAGAAGGACTCAGGCAGGTCCGATGTGTCAGACATCGGGTCAGACAACTGTTCGCTGGCTGATGAGGAGCAGACCCCCCGGGATTGCCTGGGCCACCGGTCCCTAAGAACGGCTGCTCTGTCTCTGAAACTGTTGAAGAACCAGGAAGCCGATCAGCACAGCGCCCGGCTGTTTGTGCAGTCCCTAGAAAGCCTCCTTCCTCGCCTCCTGGCCCTGCCCAGCGTGCAAGAAGTGGACTCAGCCCTGCAGAACTTTGCCTCTACTTTCTGCTCAGGTTCGTAAACATTATTTTATATATATATTATTTTTTTGCTATGTAATCAACCAGTGTTTCCAGAGCATTTGGCTCTAATAGGCAACCTCTACCAGATTGCGGTTTGAAGTGCCTAAAACATCATAGTAAATCTTTGGGTGTCTATTACTTAAGGAGAGCAGAGGAATGTGAGGCTTATTGGTTGTTTGAATAGTACAGAAGTTGATGACTGAAATATAATAGCGGTTGATAGATGCAGAATAAAAAACTGCTTTCTAGAAAGCTTGTGAAACAACAGCAGTCTGATTCTTAAAACACTGAATTCTTAATATGCTTCAATGCCTTGATGTTTAAATATTATAGAACAGTACTCTTTGAACTCTAGTTTTTATGAAAAGCAGAATATGATAATTTAGAATTTTGGTGGAAGGAAGAGATAAGAAATAAAGGGAACTGTCATTTCGAAGTGAGCAATGAGTTTATAATGATAATTATCCTTGTAAAATAACTCACCTTAATAGTTTCAGCATTGCAGTGTAAGAGTTAGCATTCAGATAATTTCATGTTTATAAACAACATCCCCAGTAATTCGACGATCAAAGACTTGTTATAGTGATAAAGACAGACTTCCATCAGATACACTGAATTCAGGGAACATAATATTAATAACTATACTGACAATAAATTTGATAGTCTTGAAGAAATGGATAAATTTTTAGAACAATAGAGCCTACCAAGACTAAACCACAAATAAATGGAAAGTGTGAGCACCCTGATTACAGTTATGGAAATTTAAACAGTAACCAAAAAATGTCACAAAAAAGGGACCTCCCTGGTGGCTTAGGGGTTAAAGTCTCAGCACTATCAAGCTATCAGCAGCCACTGCAACATAAGTTCGATCCCCAGCCAGGGAGCTAACCCACATGGTACAGCAGACCTCTCCTGTCTCGCCTGCTGCTCCCCTCAGCAGTGTATTTCAGCCAATCAACGTGTTCTGCTCCCCACGCTGTCCCTGGCGAATGCTCACCCCCTGCACCTGTGGCCTACACCCCAGTTCTTGTATGCATAAATAAATAAAAATCTTTTTTAAAAATCACAAAATTCCAAGACCAGATGGCTTTACTAAAGAATTCTACTAAACCTTCAAAGAAAAACTTAATGCTGTTCTTCTCAAACTCTTTCAAAAAGTTGAAGATGACACATTGTATGAGATCATTATCCTGATACCAAAACCAGACAAGGACATCACACAAGGAGAAAATGACAGACCAATATGTCTGATGAACATAGATGCAAAACTTTTCAACAAAATACTATTAAACCAATTCATGGGTTTCATTCCAGGGATTCAAGGGTGGTTCAGCTTATACAAACCAATGAAAGTAATACACTATAGCAACAAGACAGAAATCACATGAATATACCAATAAATTCAGAGAAAGCATCTGACAAAATTCAACCTCTTTCTATGATTAAAAAAACTCACTAAAATGTATACAGAAGGCACATATCTCAACATAATAAAGCCCGTTTACTATAGACCCACAGCTAATATCAGTGCAAAACTGAAAGATTTTCCTTTAAGATCAGGAACAAGATAAAGTTCTCATCTGTCACCATTTCCATTTCATTTGTTATTAGTGTTCTTAGCCAGAGCAATGAGACAAGAAGAAGCAATAAAAACAATACAGATTGGAAAAGAAGTAAAACTAATGTTATTTTGCAGATGATATAATATATGTAGAAAAACTGGATGACTATTCGAAACAGAGAGTATAGTAATATGGCAAGCTACAAAAACAATAAACAAATTTCTTTAGTATTTGCATATGGAAGCAGGAAATAGAGGGAAAAGAATTAAGATAACAGTTCCACTTATATTCACACCAAAAAAAGATAAAATTCCTGTGAGGAAATAAGGTGAAACACCTACACACTGAAAACTATAGGATGTTGTCCAAAGAAATAGAAGAAGATACATAGACATGGAAAGATAACCCATAATCATGGATTGGAAGATTAAACATTATTAAAATGGCCATATTGTCTAAAGCAATTTACAGATTCAGTATAATACCTATCCAAATCCAGATGGCATTTTTCAAGGAAACAATTCTAAAATTTGTATGGAACCACTAAAGACCCCGAAAGGCCAAAGCAATACTGGTAGAAAAGAAGAAAATAGAGGTATCAAGCTCCCTGACTTCAAATTATACTACAAAATGATAGTAATCAAGGTAGTATGATATTGGAAAAAAGCAGACCCCCAGGACAGTGGATCTCTGACAAAAGATCCAAGATTATACAATGGAGAAAGAAAAACTTCTTCAGCACAGGGGGTTTCCCATTGCACCACATGCAAAATATTAAAACTAGATCATTATTTAACACCATACCAAAAATTAATTTGAAGTGTATTAAAGACTTGGATATAAGACCTGAAACCGTAAAATACATAAAAGAAAAAACTCATGGACGTTGATCTGAGGTAGATATGGAACCTGAATTCCACTGGGAAGGAAATAAATGCAAAAATAAACAAATGGGATTACTTCACACTAAATATCTTTTGTACCAAAAAAAAAAAAAAAAAACAAAAAAAGAACACCACCAAAAAATTCAAAAAGGCAACCTACTAACTGGCAGAAGATATTTGCACCTCATGTATTCAGCAAGAGGTCAATTTCCAAAATTTATAAAGAGCTCATATAACTCAACAACAATAATAACCTTATCCAAAGTGGGCAAAAGATCTAAGTATACAGTTCTTCAGAGAATACATCCAAGTGGCCCAGAGACACATGAAGAAAATATTCAGCATCATTTATAAGAGATAAGTGCAAATCAAACCCACAATAAGATGTCACCTCACCCCTATGAGAATGGTCTGTATCAAAAACACATCCCAGAGATCTTGGGAGCAAAAGCAAATGCAAAGGCCCTGAGGCAGGTTCAGGCTTGGTGTGTTTGAGGAGCAGCAGACCTGTCAGGATGGCTGCAGGGAATGAGAGGAGACGGTAAGGCAGTCTTATTATATTGTGATATGAAGCCTGTGGAAAGTTTGGGCAGGAGATAGGTGCTGTCAGTTATTCTGTCTCTTTCTAGCTAAACAGGCTACATCTTAAAAGATTAAAATAATTTTCCCAATGTTGCTAGTGAGTTAACAGGTGTGCCCAGGTATATTCACTCCAGACTGGAGTGCACACTCTTCCCCACCAGGCTCTGGTGTGTATCTGACCCTAATGATTTTTGTGGCAGGCAGTTGTTGATTTAAAGAAACACCTACAAAGTGCATGTTTCTGTTACATCTCTTGATCTCCTCCCTTAGGCATGATGCACTCTCCCGGGTTTGATGGCAATAGTAGTCTCAGCCTGCAGATGCTGATGAATGCAGATAGCCTGTACACTGCAGCGCACTGCGCCCTGCTCCTCAACCTGAAGCTCTCTCATGGTGACTATTATAGGAAGCGGCCCACCCTGGCACCAGGCACAATGGTGAGTGTGCCATCCCCACGCGGAGCTTCAGAGCCCTGAAGGGGATGGCACAGGGTGTTCTGTTCTGTGCTACTCTGGAATGGGCAATGCCTGGGGGGCTGCAGAGGGTGGAAAGAGATGTGATGCCAAGGAACACATGTGCATTTGGCATGGTGCTGAGCTATGCACTTTCTGCAGAGAGCGAAGACCCCAAGTGTCTGGAATTGGCTGCCTGCCACTGACCCTGTAATTTCATTCAGTGGCATTCTTAAACATGTGATCAGCATGTTAAGTAACATCAGAAGAGGTTCAGGAAATGGTTCCCTTTCCTATGAAGTGTGCTCTTACGAAACTGTTCATTGTATTCTAAAATGGACCCAGGCCTACTGGTGACCCAGGGCCCCTAGGCTAACTGATTATGAATAATTAGGTACATACCATAAGGTGTGGCCAGAGATTGAGGTGCCTATTCTGTGGTTGTCTCCTTTGCCTGAGCATCAGCTACTCCACAGTGTGCTCCCTAATATCAGCTCAGGAGGCCAAATGCCTGGGGCTTCACAAAGTGAACCAGCAACCATTTGTTTGCATGACAAATTATAAATTCTCAAGGGTAGGTGGGATTTCATGAGTATAAGTCAAGCATCTCTTAAATGTTCTTACAGAGAGCAAAATTCACCTCTGTTCTTGTTGGGGCAGTGAGAAGAATTTGGGGAGTTTCTAAGCCTTCTATACATCAAAGAGTAGAAATATCAAGTGCAGCATCCCGAGTCCTTCTGCAGGGTATCCTAATATAGTTAAGATTCCATGAATGAAAGGTATTTCCTGTCCCTCTCCACCTCTACCCCCAGACACCAAGGTTTTGTTTTCCCCATAAGCCTTGATCAGTTAGGGTTTGTGACATGAAGAGGCCATGGAGGAGAACAGGAGGCTGTTCATGTGCAGGAGGTCATGTCTGGTCTTCTTCCCTCATGATCTGTCTCTGTAGAAAGAGTTCATGAAGCAGATCCAGACCAGCGGCGTGCTGATGGTCTTCTCCCAGGCCTGGATTGAGGAGCTCTACCATCAGGTACTAGACAGGAACATGCTTGGAGAAGCTGGCTACTGGGGCAGCCCGGAGGACAACAGCCTTCCCCTCATCACTATGCTGACAGGTCAGTGGCTTGGTCCCCAGCTCTGTGATACGAGGCCCCACCTCCAAAATCCCTTTCAGAGAAAAGTGTTCTTTCCAGCAGACCATGAAACAACACCCACAGAGCTTCCCTGGCAGTCGGTGACCATTCTGGGGGAGCGTCTTGCATGTGTCAGCTCACACGAGCTGTATCCCTGTTCCAGGTGGGACTCGTAGGTTCTCTGTGCCCATTAGACTGTGCCTGTTTAGCACCTGTGTCTGTTAGGCCTGATGACCTCTTCTGGGGATATAAGATACTTCTTGGGCTCAAAGCCCATAACTATTCCTGGAAATGCACACATGCTAATAGACACACTCTATCATTCTGTGCTCCTGGGAACTTACCAGTAATGTGAAATGACCGATTTTAATCTTGGCTTCATTCCTGTTTCCTGCTGGTACAGGAGACCCTCCTCCCTTCCCTTCCCATCACAGCTGTACCAGAGATAAAAATAATGCAAAATGGTTGCCCAGACACTTTGTCTTCGGTGTCCAGAGTTTTAAAAATCCTGCTTAACTATTAGAAATTTCACATGCAATGTGGGGTATGGTTGCGAAGCACTATTTTTGGCAAAGCAACAATCTACAACTTTTCGTGATGGCTTAACCATCGTGCCAGGTAACAGTCAGGCAGCACTCAGGAGTTTGGGGTGGTTGTTATTAGCCTTAATAAATTATATCTCAGGCTCATCCTATATTTCAGCTAGATTCCCAGACAGGTGTCTGATCTGAGTTATCCTCTCATGGCTCCAGCTGACAGGATACAGAGAGCATAGCCTGGTCCGTGTGCCTTTCTCACCCACTCTAGTGCCCATGTCCTCACACTGTTCAACATGGCTCTGTACCCAGCAGGGCACATGGCAGGGATGGGGCTGGACTAAGGCAAGATGTCCCAGTCAGGAGGCAGAATCTATTGTCTAAAGGGTGTGTGATGTTGCTGAGACTGGTGGCAGAGTAGACTCCTAGTAAGTGAAACTCAACCACCTACAAATTCCAGTGAAGAATTTGGAGTTAGATGCTTTTAGGAATCAGACAAGGAATTAAGTACCTACCATGAGGTCTGTCCACAGCAAGCAGAGCCCTGGTCATTATGAGGCATTTGGAACTTTGCTTCCAGAACTCTGGTGGAATTGGGAAGAGAAGGGCTGGATTGGGGATCAGGATCACTGTAGGTGACAGGTGACTAATTTGTATTTTATTAATCATGATAACATTTCGATCTATTTGAAAAATAAGATGCCGTAAGTGTGTAAGGCAGTTGTTCAGCCTACTATAAGCAATGCTTGGCTTCCATATCTTCACAAACTCCCTTCATTAGTGATGGAAGGTACTGACTGCCCAGAACTTATAGGTGCCTTGGAATTCAGGTGAGGATCCTAAACATGGCAGCTGTCATTTTCAGATACCAGTTTTTGTCAAAATTAATTTCTATGAACTGCTTGCCTGAACCTTAATAAAAGAAATCATTCAGTGGATGTAAAAAGGAACAAATAGCAGCCTGCTCACGCTACCCACATTCATCAGTCATCACTACTAATCAACCATGTCTTATATAATGGAATAATAAGCTCACTTGCCATGTCCACATGAAAGTTATCCAACTTCAGATTAATGAGGAAAAAAAAAAATAGGCCTTTCCCAGAAGGAAAAAGAAAAATATCGGATGGTTTCACTTATAACAAAATTTAGGGGATCCAAATAAGACATCAGTGTAAAAAAAAATAAAAATGGTACAAAACAACAAAGCAAAACCAGACAATTATAAATCGGAGACATCCTGCAGGGGAGGCGGGAGAGGAATCAGAGGGAGGGAGGGAGGCACACAGGGGACTGAGGTGATGGTGCACAGGTGCATTGGGGAAGGAAACTATAGGGACTACACCTGAGGGGATGGGGGAAGCAAATATTGTTTAAAAATGAACAATGATGTAAAAAATTAAAAAAATTAATTTAAAAAAATAGGCTTTTCATAAAAATTCAACAAAATAAGGTTCTGTGACTCTCTGGAGCAAATTCTGGTGTGAAATGACATGATTTTGAGGAGCACAAAACCTGGAGCTTAGGAACGTCCATATGATCATCAGCTCTGTACTGACTGTGGCCATTCCTGGAGTCATGTGCAAGTGCACTGTAGAACCCGGGGTTTTAGCCTTTAGATAAACTTGACATTACTTGAGTTCATCTATGCTTTACCTAGCTCATAGGACACATTATGACTTTGATAAATGACAACATGTGTTGCATGTCATTATACATTTGGACCATAACTCAAATTAATTTCAGTAAAACTACCTGTTCCCACTTAAGTAGCCATATAGAATTCTCCCTATATTTTTCTAGTTTTGTTGACATACAAAACTGGAATATTGGGCCTCCCCGGTGGCACAGTGGGTTGAGTGTAGCCCTGTGAAGCTGTCCACAGCCTCTGCAGCGCAGGTTCGATTCCTGGCCGGCCAGGGAGATTCCCACATGGCACAGCAGACCTCTCCTGCTCGCTCACTGCTCCTCTCAGCAGTGTCTTTGGTCCATCTGCCTGTTTTGCTCCCCACTCTGTCTCTGGTGAATTCTCTCACCCTCCTGCACCTCTGACTATACCCCAGTTCTTGTATAAATAAACAAATCTTAAAAAAAAAAAATCATTAAAAAAAAAGTTATTACTAAAAAAAAAAAAAAAAAAAACAAACCCAAAACTGGAATATAGCATTGTACTATTAATCCAAGGCATATTGGTATATATATTGCAAAGTGATGACCACATAAGTTCACTTGCATCTATGACATCACACTTCACAGTTACCATTTTTTTCCTTATGATCAGAACTTTGAAGATCTACTCCCTTAGCCTCTTTCTTATTTTTTTTTAAAGATTTATTTATTTATATAAGCACTGGGTACAGTCAGAAGTGCGGGAGAATGAGAGAATTCACCAGAACCAGAGCAGGGAACAGAACAGGCAGACTGACAAAGCACACTGCTGAGAGGAACAGCAGGCAGCAGGAGAGGTCTGCTCTTCATATGGGACCCTTGCTAGCGGCCAGGGCCATGTGGGACCCTCGCCGGTGGCCAGGGGCCATGCGGGACCCTCATCCGGTGGCCGGGGCCACGTAGGACACTCACCCGGCGGCTGGGGATCGAACCGGCACTGCAGAGGCTGTGGGCAGCTTTGCGGCCCAGTGCTCAACCGCTGTGCCACCAGGGGAGGCCCTCCCTTAGCCTCTTTCAAAGAGATGTTTTGCCAAAAATCTCTTGGATTCTTGTTGGAGACTTCCTAAAGCATCAAAGATCTAGTGACATAATTTTCAAATACCATGCCAAGAAGCCTCAAGCTTCTTGAGACTTGGGGTTAGGGGAGAGTTCTAAGGTCAAGGAATAAATTCATGGTCATCTCTTTTCCCATCTCCTCCTTGCAGTGAGTTCATCTGTGCAAGCAGCATTGTACATAAGCTACAAGTCACTGTCTCTCCTCCAATGGGAACTTCCTTTATACTGAGGAATGTGGGCCCAGAGAATGGGCTGCCTGGCACAGGCCTGCCTGGCCATTAATTTAAAGCCAAGGCTGAAGCCCCCTCTTCTTAACCCCAGACTGGTGTCTTGCTGCCAGCTTGTTAAGGCCTATTTCACTGAGCTAATTCCATAGAGGCGAGTTTGTTTTTAACAAAAATATAAACAAAGTGAAGTAGGATCCCATATTGAGCTGGAGTATGGTGCTGTGGAATGAGCCTGGGGAAGTCAGAAGACATGCATACTAATCTATTTGCTTCCTTTACCAACCCTATGACCTTGGGCAATTTACCAACTTTGAATATCTCCTCTGTGAAGTAGGAAATATAGTACCTACTCTGACTACAAACTTGGAGTTAGTTGTTGGGAAGATCACATGGGAAAAAAAATGTTAGGGGAAAACACTTTGAAATTTGTAGTGCATCACTGTCAAGATATTACTATTAAATCTGGAATCAGATTATATAGTTATCTGGCCAAAGAGGCTTATTCTCAGTTCTTATGAGGAAGCTCATAAGGTCTTGGGGTAACCTGTATGTGTACAGTTTGGGAATAATGCCAGAGTTTTCAATAAAAGGAGCATTCAAAGGTCAAAATATTGCAGATCAATAGCTTTCTAACAACAGCGATAGCATCATATATTTTTTCAGTTAAAAAATAAATCACAGGGCCTCCCTGATGGACTGGAGGTTAAGTCTCAATGCCACCATCATGATGGCCCTCCCACAGCAAAGCGGCCTGAGCTCAATCGTGGGCCAGGGAGCTCACCTACATGGCACAGCAGACCTCTCCTGTCTCACCTGATGCTGCCCTCAGCAGTGTATCTCAGTGGATCTGCCTTTTCTGCTCCCCACTCTGTCACTGGTGAATCCTCTTGCCCCCTATACCTCTGGCCTGCACCCCAGTTCTACCCGAAAATAAATACACTTAAAATCTTACAATAAAGGAGTAATTATTAAAAAAATGAAACCCACCAAAACAAGAATGTTCTAGGGATGAAAGAAAGCTGGACTAGTGAAAAAATTATCTGAATTTCAAAAATTCTTTCAAAAGATTGCTATACTTGATCATAATAAATCCAATAGATATTTGTTGGGGGAAAAATGAATACTGTAGAAGCCATTTGTTTTTTTTTTTTTTTTTTTTTTTTTTAAAGATTTATTTATTTATTTGTTTGTTTTGTTTATACATACAAGCACTGGGTACAGTCAGAAGCGCGGGAGGGTGAGAGAATTCACCAGAGCCAGAGCGGGGAGCAGAGCAGGCAGAAGGACCGAAGTACACTGCTGAGGGGAGCAGCGGGCGGCAGGAGAGGTCTGCGCGCCATGCGGGACCCTCCTCCTGTGGCCGGGGAGCAGCTGGGGATCGAACCGGCGCCGCATAGACTGCGGGCAGCTTCGCAACCCAGCGCTCAACCGCTGCGCCACCGGGGAGGCCCCATTTGTTTGTTTTTAACTGGCATGTTCTGATCAAGGAAAACCTTGCTCTTTTCCCTTGACAGATATTGACGGCCTGGAGAGCAGCGCCATTGGGGGCCAGCTAATGGCCTCGGCTTCCACAGAGTCTCCTTTCACCCAGGGCAGGAGGATCGATGACTCCACAGTGGCAGGTAATGACTTGGATCTTGAGTTTATGAATATGCATACATCGTGTGTGTTACCAGCAATTTCATTATTATAGGACAGCTTTGGGTGCTGACATAAATGAATGAAGATTTTTTTGTCTTGGCAGAAAAATCTGATAGAAGTTACTTCACATCCAGCTAATGATACAACATTCATTATTTATGAGCCTAAAGGGAAACACAATCCAATAGAATCCATTAAGTTACATTTCCTGTAGTAGAGTCGCACACAACACAGCATTGCTAATTGGATGGTCGAACACTCCCCTGCCATTCATTGCCAGGCTTTTTTGTCTCCAGAAAGTGACCCGCCCCTTTGTGTTCCAGGTGTAGCTTTTGCTCGCTATATCCTAGTTGGCTGCTGGAAGAACTTGATCGATACTTTGTCAACCCCCCTGACGGGCCGAATGGCAGGAAGCTCCAAAGGGCTGGCATTCATTCTGGGAGCTGAAGGCATCAAAGAGCAGAACCAAAAAGAGCGCGACGCCATCTGCATGAGCCTCGATGGACTGCGGAAGGCCGCCCGGCTGAGCTGTGCTCTGGGTACCCGCGGGAGTAGTATGCCTGACCCATGACCTGAGACCACAGGCTGCCTCTGCAGACCACATTGGGAATCACCCTACTGGGAAACAAGGGTTTTAGAAGGGGGATTCACAGGTGAATGGTTCGAGAACAGGCTCCGTGAAGGGGTAATTCTTTGTTTCCTTTCAAGGGGTTGCTGCTAACTGCGCCTCGGCCCTGGCCCAAATGGCAGCTGCCTCCTGTGTCCAGGAAGAGAAAGAGGAAAAGGATACCCAAGAGCCCAGCGATGCCATAGCACAAGGTAACAGCTGCAGGGCCTCCTGGCCCCTGGCAAATGCATGTGGTCGCTGACCGATGCCCCCTGGCTGGGCTGCTCACACCTCTGTCATCTGGCCCCTGGCCGAGGCATCTCCTGGAGCATACACTGGAGCACCCCTCGAGTTATGGGGGAGAAGGGAGAACAGCTAGTTTTCTGAGAGGAGGAGGGAACGGGGAGGAATCCATGAGAAGAGGCTCTGGAAGATTTTGGTCTTGTCTGAGAAAAATCTGAACTTGGTGAATTCAAAAAAAGTGATTTTTAACGTGTTAAATCAGTTAGCCAGTGAACTGCATGACTTCCGAAAATACGAAGAGGATGACCTTCCTAGTACCAGCGCAAGATAAATGGCAGGCAGCAAACAGAAGGGAAAAATGAGAACTTGTTCTAATACTATGCAGGAGCTACATAAAATGGAGAAGTAGTTGGTACATTTCTAGCTGAGAGAAATTAGGTCAGTGTAGTGACAGAGAGAATATTAAAAAGCAAAGTTGCTCTCCCAGGCCCCGAGAGTTAACTGAAAAAAGAGTATCCTACTTTTAATTAATATGGGCAACCATAAACTACACAAAAATCCTTACATTTTAAGTTCTTCATAAACTATATATTTAAATTATATACAAATGAAAATTATCACATCATGAGACAAGGGATGCTTTGCTAAGGGTCAGTGTGTCCCTATCACAGAGATGTGGTCCCACCTGCTCTGGGGCGAGCACACTGTTACTGGCCTCTGGACCATCACTCAGTTATCCTACTGGACTCGGCGTCCAGTGACTTGAAACCTTTATTCCTGGAGGATGTTGTCATTTGACCTTGCCTTGGTATTTTGCATAATTGACATGTTAAGTCACCTCTACATCATTTCACATTAGTCATCTGCAGTAACATGATCTGAAGATCATGTTGCAAAAGTAAACTCGAGTAAAACAATAAGGTAATTTTCACTTATAAAACATGTAGGTTTAGATAATCACCAACATGAACACATACCATTAAAGAAGGCTTAGAGAGGACTTGCAAAAAGCACCAGCAATTCTTTATTATCAGCTTGAGTACGCAGACCCAGGGGTATGGTCTGGGTACAGATGGCTTTAGCTGGGTTCAGTACATGAAGCCCATTTGTCTGCTTTTCCTGGCCCAGAACTAGGGCTAGGCCTGGAAGAACTGCACTGACAGTTCAGGATCCACCCAGTTTCTGAAGTTTCAGGGGCACCCCCTATCTGTGGGGTCTGTGGACTGGGTGGTTTGCGTGATGAACCACAAGGACTGTGGGATATTTGCTGCCAGTGGCATCAACTCATTTCCTTTTGTCCTGGCACAACAGCACAGCCTTTCCTCTTACCCTCTTCCTCTGCCTTTCTGTCTCCCTCACTTAGACTGTTATTCTAATAACTGTCTTTCTGGCCCAGTGAAACTAAAAGTGGAGCAGAAACTGGAGCAGATCGGGAAGCTGCAGGGGTTGTGGCTGCACACTGCCCACGTCTTGTGCATGGACGCCATCCTCAGCGTGGGCTTGGAGATGGGGAGCCACAACCCCGACTGCTGGCCGCATGTGTTCAGGTGCCTGACCAAATCCCCATCCCCGCCTGGCCCTCACCCTGCTGTGGGAACCTGGGGTGGAGGCAGGAGTAGACCTCAGATTCTGCCAGCACATAAATAGATCATGACATTCACAGAATCTGGAAAAACCCCAAGTAAGACATTGAAAAGAGAAGAGAGAGTAAGGACCCAACTTAATGTAATTTTGAAGAACAGAAGGACAGAACCAGATTTAGGGAATTGTGAATTATCTGTTGACTTTGACTGTAAGAGGCAGAGGTGTCATACCAAAGGAGAAAACCAGAGTATTTAAATAGTAATGGCACAAGGCCATAGAATTGTATGCAGAACAGAATGGTGGTCATGGGCCAGCAATATAACATGGCTGTGTGCTTATGACACCCTCTTTATGTAGAGGATCTTTAATAGCTTGCCTGCCACATAAAGCGTGAGACACCTATTTTAACTTAGCTTGACAGAGGGAAAAATAGAATACAGAATAGGATATTATGCCAAAGATAGCACAAAAATTTGACCCTAAGATTTTCATCAAAGTGAAAAGAACTCCCCTTCCCCTTGCCAGTGTGTTAGACAATTTACAGCAACTATAAAACAAAGTGAAGCCACTGTCCATAGTCCTCCTGCAGCTCAGAGGAAAAGCAAGTCTCCCAGGCTTTGGTGTGCAGGCGGCCATGGGACAAGGGAAGGAGCACAGGCCCCGGCCAGGTGCCTGGCTGTTCCTCATCCTTCTCCTCACCCCAGCCCAGTGCCTTGCTCCCAGCTCACGTCTGCAGGGCAGGTAGGACAGACAGGAGGCAGGGCAGCCCCTAGCAGGACCCAGGCACTGGTCTCGCCCAGGCCACCAGCCAGATGTGTTTTGACATCCTCAAGTTAGTGCAGCCGTGAGAGCTGGTCAGGTTTCAAGGGGGAAGACATGTCATCATTCAAGGGCTGAAAAAGCCACCTGGAGAGGAACATGTGAAGGAGCTAAGTGGGTTTGGATGTGGAGGCTAGTGACCTGCTCATCACTTTCTTTAGAACAAAGGAAAAAGAATTAAAACGTGCCTGAGCAATTTACCTGGAGCAGAAACATTGCCCAATTGAATAATTCAGGATGATTTTTACCAGTAACGGACGTTGCTGAGAGGAGGGGCTTCTTGGGAACCATCTTCTTCCAGGTTCCATTGGGAACAGTTTAGAGGTTGGCAGTTGTACCCTATTGTACCCTCTCTTGTGACTCTTGTCTATGCTGGCATGATTAGGGGTTGCCCCCACCCCACCCCAACATTAGTTATATGGTGCTATGGAAACCAGGCAGACATGGCTGAGCAGAACCCCTGAGAGAGGGGCTTGCCATGGCCAGAGCCCCAGTAGCCCTATGCACACGTATCCTGGGATCTCAAAGTGAGAGAATTCTCCCCACATCCTCATCAGAGCATTAGACAGCAGGGAAGGGGGCCCCTTGGGAAAAGTTACTCACACTCCAAAGTCCAGAGAAGCCAGTAAACTGGACAGAGTGGGACTGGGTGCACAGGGCCTTGTTCCCTTCCCTTCTGCCCGCACTGGGAAAGAAAATCTGAGGAATCCTATCCCATACCCAGGCTGGCCGATCCAACTCAGAACAATAATAGTACAGTAAGCGGGCGGGGGGAAAGGGAAGGAAGAAAGAGAGAAATGACTATGACGAGGAGGAGAAAATGGCGGTGGGAGGACTGCAAAGCTTGTTGAAAGTCCTTTGTATCTCGCTGTAGGCTTTGTGGACTTGGCCCTGCTGAGCTGCAAGGCCTAATGCCTGCTTGTCTGACTCTCTCTAGGGTGTGTGAGTACGTGGGCACGCTGGAGCACACCCACTTCAGCGACGGCTCGGCTCAGCCCCCTCTGACCATCAGCCGGCCCCAGAAGGCGTCTGGAGGCTCCGGGCTCCTGGGGGACCTGGAGTGCGAGGGCTCACCCCAGGAGCAGAACCTGGAGCAGGAGAGCACCCTGAGCACAGCCCCGGTCATCCAGCCCCTCTCCCTCCAAGAACTCGTCAGGGAAGGCAGCCGAGGCCGGGCCTCCGACTTCCGGGGCGGCAGCCTCATGACTGGGAGCAGTGCTGCCAAGGCCGTGCTCACGCTGTCCACCCAAGCCGACAGGTGTGCCCCTTCTTTCCCCACCCAGCGGGGCTGCTCCCCACAGAGCACCCACACCCACTCCTCAGACCTCCACATCATCCCTGGGACAACCTGATGTGTTAGTCATTAAACCCCTGGATTTTTCTCAAACAAACTTCCACCACCCTGCCCCACACCTACAGTGAACTGCTTTCTGACAACCCAGGCCAGGGCCTTGGAGGCAGGCTCCCCAGCTAACGCTCCGTGCTGACTCCATGACCTCGGGCACCACCTCCGGGGCCATGACCTCTTCACCATAAACTTGTAGATCATAAAGCAGCTCTCACAGGGCAGTAGTGAGGTTAAATTAATTAGCACATTTGAAGCATTTAGGATAGAGCTAGGAAAATAGTAAAAATCCACTGTTTTTATATTAATGAAAAATCCCATGCTCAGGCATGTGGTACATTGTTCATTGAGGCTCCATAAATACTTAAGGTTGAGAGGGGAAATCAAGAGTTACCCAGCTGTTAGGTGACTCTTCTTGAAGGGGAACTGCTTTTGCTGCAGTCTCACTTGGTCGATATGTCCCAGACTCCCCAGCTCGGGGTGCTATAACGTTTATGCAGGAGATGGACAGCAAGGGGCTAGTGAAAAGCAAGAGCACCCGCTGAGGCTCAGAGGCCCTGACTTCCTTCTGGGTGACACTAACCATCTGCATAAATTGTCCCCTGAGATTTGCTCTTCATCCACTAACTCATGTCCATGGAATACATGCATGGATGTCTTGGTGCAGTAACCCTTTGTCCCTGTTTTTCCAACATGGTTGCTGGAAAGTGCTTTGGCATCTGAAAAGCACTAAAGAGATGTCAGGTGGGGCTCATACTCACCACTCTTCCTTAAATGTATCTGTTTCAAAAATTTGTGAATGTTTCATCCCCCAATGCCCATCTTAAAACTTGTGAGTCTCATATTACCCCTTCAAAAGGGTCTTGTCAGTCAATTTCTATTAGAGACACTCTTCTCACCCCTTCACCCCAAGAACTGAGCGACCTGCCCTTTGTGCAGGTTCAAGCTGCCTGCCTTGAAGGGTAAAATCCCAGCGACCCTGACCCACCTGTAAGCCCTGATACCTGTGCTCCTCTCCTTCCTATTTCCGTCTTCTAAAAATATCTATTTCCAGTGGAGTGAAGACAAAGTGAACCCGCAAGGTCCATTATATTAAGTAATATTCATCCTTGCAAGTAGCTACTCAAGCCCCCGCCACCAGAAGTCCAGGGCTCCGGTGTTGAGTCAGAAGGGATAATGAGGCCATTCCCTGCCCTGGGAGACTTAAAGGATGGGGTTTGCTCTGTTTTTATATCCTCCCCAGGCCAAGCTCAGCAAAATACTCATTAGTTATAGCCCAACAAGTGTGGATTAGCTTACTGAATTCTTTTTCTTAATACATGTTCATGAAATGGAAGCTACTTTTAAGGATTCCATTCCCAGTGATCATTTGTGGGAGTGATGCTTAGCCTTCTTTCAATTTCTTGCCAAACATTTTGAGTACCTACCATGGCTGAGAGAGGCACTGAGATCTATGTATGGTATGGTCAGATTAAAGTCTTGAAGTCAGAGCAGACTTGTACTCAGTAATAATATAATAATATCATACACTCCTTTACAGTGTTTACACAGCACATTCATTAATCACATCTAACAAAATTACCACAATTGTTGTGCCATAAAGACTTTGCTGAATTGTTTCCAAGTAACAAATTGTTTTGTTTTATCCAGGCTCTTTGAAGATGCTACAGATAAGTTAAACCTAATGGCTTTGGGAGGTTTTCTTTACCAGCTAAAGAAAGCATCGCAGTCCCAGCTGTTCCACTCTGTTACAGATACAGTTGATTACTCTCTGGCAATGCCAGGTAAACCTTTCCCTGAAGACACTGTGCCATGGGGTTAGCAAGAAGAAATCCAGATTTCAGATACAGCCCACATAAGACTTGACCCCACATTTCCCCTCGTACATGGTCATCTTGGCTAAGTTCAAGTGCAGATTTGTCATCAGGTTTGGAGGCATGATGTGTGGGGGGTGGAAAAATTCTTTGTGAGTCGAAATTTGACTGCTACAGGTGTTAGCGTGGGAGCTGTGCTAGATTGTTCTGTTAAGGTTTTGTGCTTATGATATGGAAATTGTGCAGCTGTTTAGGGTGCTGGTGGCTTCAGGGGAGTGGGAACCCTTCTCCACATCACTCCTCTCAGTCCAGCTGCTGATTCCATAAGGGTTAGTGGGGGAGAAAAGCAGAAGGATCAGCAGAAGCCTCACGCTGCTCTTAGGACAGCTGCTCTCAGAGCATGTCCATGAATGATGGGTCAGTATCCCTGGCTTCGCGAGTGAAGCCAGATGACGGGCTTCTCGAAGGCCAACATGTGGAAGAGGAAACAGACTTATACTGAACTGCCCAGGGTGGCAGGTTGCTCTTGAGTGCAGTTGGCCATCAACAGCTGGGTTATGCTGAAACAGTGAGTACCTTTTCCTGGTGAGTTCAGACAGAGGCACAGAGACTGTGATGGTGACAGACTGGACGGTACCACCTCTGAGGTCCCTTCTGTCCTTACGAATCTGTTAATTTGAAAAGTGGGAACTGTTATTTCCACTTTTATGATGAGAAGTTGAACTTGAGAAGCAAATCTCTGATTCAATGTAAGCCAAACACTAAATGGGGGAGCCAGCACTTAGTCCAAGCAGTCTGCCGTCCCGGCCCCCGAATTAACCACTGTATCCTTCCTCCTCCTCAATAAGCATTGTTCACATTTGTCATGAGGAACGAGGGTCACAGTGCTAACAGGAGAGGTGGGCTTGGCTTGTTGAATGAACCCCCCAGTTCTCGAGCCCTGGGTTCTTCTCTTAGTTAGCCTGAGCCCAATAACCTGATCTAAGCGCACAGTTCTTTGACTTTCATCTGCTCTCTGCTCTTGAATATGCCCAGCTATTTCTGAGTTTGTGCTTTATGCTTGCATGGTCTTGTCTTCCTGTAGGAGAAATTAAATCCACCCAAGACCGAAAAAGTGCCCTCCACCTGTTCCGCCTGGGGGACGCCATGCTGAGGATCGTGCGGAGCAAAGCACGGCCCCTGCTCCACGTGCTGCGCTGCTGGAGCCTGGTGGCCCCACACCTGGTGGAGGTGAGCGCCACAAAGTGGGCAGCGGCCACAGCGGAGCCAGCCAGGGCTTCCGGTCCATGCGTGCAGAGAGCACTGTGACCCCACAGCCTGGAGAAGGCTCCATCTGCTACTCGCAAACATCATAGTTCCCCGACTGCATTTCCTGCCATCTAAAGAACCAGCCCAAAGGGGGACTCACCCTTGGTCTCACTCTCAGCCTCTTCACAGTTATACGATTCTGCTACATACCTTACACAGCCCATTTTTCATTCCTTGTTCTCTGTCACCTGAGTCTGGAGCTTTATTTTTATCCATGATTATAGCAATGCCTTTTGTCCTGCCCATCCATTTCCTAATAGGTAAACACTCAAGGCAATGCCCTCTAAGTTGGGGACCCATATGTCCTAATTTTCCCAACAAAACTAACCTTAGAACCCCTTCCCCTCTCCAAAGGAAGCAGTTCATGTGGTGGTTATATGGTAGCGCCCCATTTAAGCATCTTTCAGAGCTCGATGACTGGCTGCTTCTAAGGTGATGGGAAAATGGTCACCCTGTTTGGCAGTGATAACTGTTCTTGATAGCCCGTTAGTGCTTATCTAGTAGAGCTATGACATGAAATAAAGATTTTTTTGGAACTCAAATAGACCTCTCTACATGGTATCTCATCCCCCAGCCCCAATGAACCAGTTCACGCACATGACATGCCCAGGACGGCAAAGGAAAGCAAGAAGGCAAGGCCAGTCGCCACTACTTCTCATTCTCGTATGAAATATTTGCTGGTGTTCCACTGGCCAATGCCAGTCACAACCCCCACCAACCCCGCTCACTGAGGGAGAGGACTCCTAACAGGCATGGGCACAAGGAATGCTGAGCCTATTCAAGCTGTAAGGTACAGTCAGCCCAGCTTGTTGAGGGACAGATGACTTTATGTATTTGGCACAAGGCTAAGAATGAGTCTGGGCAGTTTCCAGACAAAGTTGTGATATCTTTAGAGGCAGCATGTTCTATAGTATCTGAGAAAATTATCATGTACAGAATGAAAAAATGATAAACTCTTACTTTTCCAGAGACATTAATGTGAAGTTGAAGTTTTGTCTGATCAAGTGGTGAACTTATTAAAAATGCAAATGAGTGTGCTGTTCATCTATGCTTACCCCTTATCCCTATACTTATTATTTACTTTAACAGAATTGCTGCTTCCACTTCCCCACAAAGAGGTGGGTTAGGGAAACTTCAGAAACCAGTGTCGTATTGCCTTAAGTCCTGATCGTGTTGTGCTCTCGTGAATTTTGCAGGCTGCCTGCCACAAGGAAAGACATGTGTCTCAGAAGGCTGTCTCTTTCATCCATGATATACTGACAGAGGTTCTCACCGACTGGAATGAGCCACCACATTTTCACTTTAATGAAGCACTCTTCCGACCTTTTGAGCGCATTATGCAGCTGGAGTTGTGTGATGAGGATGTCCAGGACCAGGTGAGTGGGTGGTGCAGGCAGCACAGCAGCACAGCTAGTTCCCTCAGAGTGCGCCGGCCAGCACTGTTTCATGAGTTTTGCTGATTTCATCTTTCCCATAATCCTCTGTGGGATCTGGACAAAGGTTAAGCAGTTTAGTTAAGGATACACGTTAGTGGTTGGTGGAACTGGGATTTGAACCTAGGCAATCCAGCTATACTGGTCTGTACTCTGATACCTAACCCTTTCTCTCAACTGCTATCACACCCGCACCCGGGAGACCAATGGTTAAGAAACCAGCTGGGGCTTCATATCTAGCCAGCATGATGGTGGTCAGGAATACAGACAGATCCTTTCTCTGAAATCCAATAAAAATGTTAAAGAAACCTCTCTTAAATCAGAGGCACTCTGTGGACTACTAAGATGCCCAAACTTAGTAACAAGGAGAACCCAGAGAAGGAAGCAGAGGTCCAAGACTGGCTTTGTCATGACAGAATTTGTCATCCTGTGGCACTAAGTTCTGTTCATCACATTTTTGAGCCCACAGAACAGAAGGCAGATCTCAGTGCACATTTTATAGAACTGGTGCTCACCCAGACCCAGGTTTAGTTAGAGATGAATTGCCTTCCTGGGTAGACTGTTAGCCTGTTTCTGATATTGACTCTTAGTGGAGATAAAAATAAAAACTCTCCAGGATTTAAAATTATAAGCTATTTATAGCAAAATGGAAGGAGTGCAAGAAAATGATATATAGCAAAGTCAGTCAGAAAGATAAAGACAAATATTGGACTAGTTCACATACGAAAGCACATGACCTGACAAAGCGAAATAATGATATTCTGGTGGATACTGGTAACGGAAGTGAGGGTTCTCCAATTAATAGAAAGGCTGGGGTGTAGTAGATAGTGGCGGGGGAGGGATAAAATAGTGGCGGGGGATAAAATCATACAGTCACAAATAAATCGGATGTATATTAAAAATTTTAAATTGACTTATATTTATAACAAATGAAATTATAAGCTAGCCCTTTCATGGTCTGAGAAACTAAACCACACAGAAATAACAAGAGTCCCCTGAAGCCCACAAAAAAAGTTCTAAGATAAGTGAATTCTCAGTATTTAGGAAATATCACACCATATAACAAGGCAGTAGTCATGTAAACTGATGAAACGAGATAATATAATGAGAACTAGAAAGAATTGAAATAGAGTATCTTTGATGTAAAATATAATAATATCTAAGGTTTAGCAAAACATGGAAAGAAATGAAAATATGAGCTAGTACTTAAAGATTAGGTTGGAGGATTCCACTAGTAGTGAACTAAGTAATTTAGATAACTTCCTACAGGAACAACTAGAAAAGGCCCCGTAGGAAATTTTTTTTAATAACTGAAGACTTTAGACTATAACAAGGCAAGTGATTAACTATGAGGTCAAGATTGGAGCAGGGAAGGACTAAGATGCTCTGCCTTGTATCTGAGGTTGCTTTTTGTGAAAGGAATCTACTAATTTCAGAAGATGAAGCCAGAAAACTAAGAGTTTTAGCACAATTGGAGTCTTAGGTCTGCCAGTCTGGTAACTTCCTGATATCATGGGTTATAACCATGAAGAAAAAGGGACATTGGTGGAGAAAAGATGAAACTTAAATATAACAGTCACAACAGAAATAACTCCCAACGGGCCTCCCCTGTGGCGCAGCGGTTGAGCTCTGGGTTGCGAAGTTGCCCGCAGCCTCTGTGGCACCAGTTCGATCCCCGGCTGCTCCCCGGCCACCGGAGGAGGGTCCCGCATGGCACGCAGACCTCTCCTGCCACCCGCTGCTCCCCTCAGCAGTGTACTTTGGTCCTTCTGCCTGCTCTGCTCCCCGCTCTGGCTCTGGTGAATTCTCTCACCCTCCCGCGCTTCTGACTGTACCCAGTATAAACAAAACAAACAAACAAATAAATAAATAAATAAACAAAACATGCCTCTATTAAAAAAAAATAGCAGCATTTGGGAAACTGCTGCTTTTTATTAAAAAAAATTAAAAAAATTAAAAAATTTTAAAAAAAAAGAAATAACTCCCAACTTCTGTAACCAACACAGTGTGTCTTAGTGTAAGGATTGACATATGGAGCTAAACAGAGAGTATAAATCCACACATTTATGGACAATTAATTTTTGACAAAGATGCCACTGCAATTCAGTATTTATTTTTAGTAAATGGTGCTTGAGTGTGTAATAAAAATGAATTTGCTTCTCACCATACACAAACTATAACTCAAAATGTATCACAGGCTTAAACACAAAAATAAAACTATTAGGTATGTCTAGAAGAAAACGTAAGAGAAAATCATTGCAATTCAGGGTTAGGCAAAGATTTCTTTAAAACGATACCAGTGTGATCCATAAAATAAAACTTGATGAATTGGGCTTCATCAAAATTTAAAATTTGAAAAGCATTTGCTTTTCAAAAGATACCATTAAAAAAAAATAAAAGAGAAGCCCAAAGCTGTGGGGAAATATTCCACATCATCTCTCAGGAAGGACTTGAGTCTAGAATAAAGAATGCAATAATAAAATAATAGTATCAACTCAATAATTAAAAGATGATAGTACAACAAATCTGCCCCATTTAAAAATTAGTAAAATACTTACAGATCACTAATAAGCATGTGAAAAGTTGCTCAGCAAAACTATGATCAACAAAATGCAAATTAATGCAATCTGGCTACTAATTTAGAAGATTTTTGAGTGGATATGGGTTCTGATTTTCTCTCACTAAAATTAATGCAGAAATAGGGAGCAGAGAAGTAAACCACCCTTCACAGAAATTCTCCTGCTTCTTTAAAGGAAGGGGCTTTAAGTACCACCTCCTTTGACTCTGGCAGGTGGTCACATCCATTGGTGAGCTGGTTGAAGTATGTTCTGCCCAAATCCAGTCAGGATGGAGGCCCTTATTCAGTGCCTTGGAAACGGTGCACAGCGGGAACAAGTCTGAGGTGAAGGAGTACCTGGTTGGTGATTACTCCATGGGTAAGAACATGCATTGATTTTGTATCCTGAAATTGTACTGAATTTGTTGAATTGTTCTAACAGTTATTTAGTGAAGTGTTTTAAGATTTTGTGTATATAGGATAATGTCATCTGCAGACAAGCTATTTTACTTTTCCCTGCCCTATTTGGATGCCTTTTACTTTTTTTTTTCTGCTCAATTTTTTTTTTTAATCACAGTGATGGATGATCATGAGAAATTATCTAGCACTAGTAATAGAGAAATAGGCATGAGTTCAAGAGATATTTAGATTTTCACACATTTTCAACATTTAAAAAAGTATTACAATAAAAAGTTATGATCTTCACTTTTAGGAAATCTTTTACTTTTTTTTCTTGCCTAATTGCTATAGCTAGAATTTGATTTGGTAAGGGGTGATAAGGGAAGAACATAAGGAAGACACTTGCTATAAAACATTAGTTCTTTATATCAAATCATGCTATCAAACGGAACTAAATATAGAAAAGACTGATACTTGGCCATGTTTTATCAGCAGGAAATAATCTGGTGTAGCAGGCACACAAGTTCTAACTTTTGCCAGCAGGCTGAGAACTCTGAGCATTATCAAAGCCTGCTATTATTGAGAGATAGTACAAAAGATTGAGACTTTTGTTGTTTCCCTTATACATACCTGTCTTCATCCAAAAATCCAAAAAGAAAAATGTTATCTGCTTGCTGCTAAGAGACAGAAAAGTATCATAACATAAGGAAATCCAAAGTAGGGAGACCAGGTCTTGCTGGAAATAAAGCATGCCCAGTGAACAGGGGTGCCATGTCAGGGGTTCCCAATACCACCCCTACATTAGAGACCTTCCAGAAGGACTCATGGGATGCAGCATGTAGTTATGCTACATGACTTCAATGTATTACATGACTCACAGCTAAGATTTAATATGGCAACAGAGTAAGGACAAGCCTGATCATAAGGGGAAAACACGGAATCTGAGAGCGTCCCTGTGCAGACCTCTCTTGTGCTCACCCTCCCATGAGGGGTCCCACACTTTTCCCTGGGCAGTGCAAAAGCGACAAGACATACATTATGTCTCTGACCTTGGAGACCCAGCAGAGAGCTGCTCATGTGGGTCCCCTTTGCCTAACACCAACCAAAATTCCCAGAAGAAAAGCAGGTGTTCAGAATAAGCCATGTTGTTTGCACAGTCTCTGCACGGTGAACCTCGCTTATCAGTTGGCTGTTGCCTGGGAATGTTCTGAGAGCCAAGTTCCCAGTCAGCAGCCAAGCAAGCCCTTCTGCAGGGAGCTGTCTCAGGCCTTGTGTTAACTCTTTCCTGCACAGGTATAAATAAATTAGTATAGCCCCCCACAGGTTTATCTAAGTCTTTCCTTCCCTGTAATTATGTGTTCAGGAGGGTTCCAGAGGCCCACGTTTCATTGCCCCATAGGCCTCCACATTGCCTCTGCCCTGCCTTCAGCTGGCTTTGTTGCCATCTCTGTACTGAGCTTACTTTCCACAGTCTTCCTGCAGCTCCCCTGCGGACAAAGCTGAGGACAGCACAGAACAGGAGACCAGCCATTTGTCTAGCCAGAGGCCCAGGGTCTTTTCTGGTCGCTCCTTTCCTAGGCTGTCTAGAAGGTGCTGGGAGTGTGGGCAAGCTGAAATGTAGAGACTTAACTTCCATAAATCCTACCACCTTTTTCCCTCAGGAAAAGGCCAAGCTCCAGTATTTGATGTATTTGAAGCTTTTCTCAATACTGACAACATCCAGGTGTTTGCTAACGCGGCCACTAGTTACATCATGTGCCTTATGAAGTTTGTCAAAGGGCTAGGTAAGTGGAGCCCTCCTTTCCTGCCTTGAGATCAGTAGGGACCCTTTCCAGGGTGACTTTGTGTGGAAATGTGGCTCCCTGTAGATGGCGCCACTGACTCCCCAGGGCAGGCAGGTGCACACACCAGAATAGAAACCTGTGCTCAGAAGTAGAAAAGTTATTGCAAAAGCAGCTTGGACTGTGTGCAAGGTTGTTATTTTTCATTGTTTCACAGAATAATCTTATGATGTAGAGCATTTTCAATCTCTGTTACTTTAATCCCACTTCTTTTTGAATCCTAGAATATTCAGTATTATATTCAACAAATGCCCTTAAGCAGAAAATCCGTTCTCCTCAACATCATGTCATGAATAGATGGTGTCTGAGTTGCCAGCTCCTGAACAAAAATTCAGAATGCCTCTTCCAGGGCCTGACTGACCATAAAATGTATTTTGGAAACTTAGAAGTCTGCCTTCCTGGAGGCCTCATGTACTTTTGGAACAACTGGAAAGCTGATTTTATGCATAATTTAAGAACACTTTAAATAGGTGGGGTTGTGTCCTTCAACATGGCCTGCTACAGCAGGTTTTTATATAGCACTGGCTTATCTGGGCTGAAGTGGAAGCAGGGGCAGTTAAACCAGAAGTTGGAAAGGAACTTGAATTTTAAAGCTTTGAGGTCCCACCATGGAGTGCTCTTCAACCTGGATGCTGGGAACCTTTCAATAAGGCAACTAGAAGGTTCATAATACTCATTTTTATTCTTGCTAAATCACTGATGGTTCCTTTGCAAAAGAAAACTGGACACAACAAAGTTAGGTGGCTTCACTCCTGTGCCCCTTATCTTGGGAGCTGGAACAAAGTGCAAGTTTCAGGATAGAGGCTAGAGGCCACCCTGGTTATGCTCGATGATTATATCTATCCCGAGGAGCAGAGGACAGAGCTGGGCGAGGCCAGCAGTCCCCTCGTTTATTTACTTTACATACCAGGCTGCAGAGGATGATTTCCTTTGAACAATAGGAAATCTGTTTTAACTGTACATTTAATAGAAGTCAAACAATTTAGTATCTTAATCATAAGAAGACCAGAAAGTAGGAATCTTTGCATTTGATGGTAGAAAACTCAGTCGTTGGTTAGGAAAAACTCCCTGTCCTGTGTGATTCTCAACTTTGTGCGTGTGTGTGTGCGTGCGTGCATGTCTCTCTCTCTCTCTCTCACACACACACACACTCTGCAACACTCACACCACTTCTGATTCCAGATGTGGGAGAGTTTCCCACACTTTCATTCTCATTGACACCAGCTGGGTGTCCGATTTGACTTGGTTCTGACGCTGAGCTGGTGCAAGCCCCCAAGGTGAAAGACTCAGTTCCACAGACTGCCCCCCACCTGTGAGGCCAGTCATGTGTAATATGTCGCCAGGTTACCTAGAGCCTCTTCGCACCTTGGATAGAAAGCAGAGGTTCCCATAATCCCCTTGGATTCCATTATTTGTTAGAAAAGCTCCTTGCACTCAGGGAAACACTTGAGTTTCTAATTTGCTGTATGATAAAAGATACAGATGAACAGAAACACGGGGCGAGGTCTGGGAGGGCCCCAAGTACAGGTGCTTCTGTCACCATGGAGTTGGAAATTGCCCCCTGCCCAGCAGGTAGATGGGGTCACCGACCTAGAAGCTCTCTGAGGTCTGCACTTTGGAGATTTTTATGGGAGCTTTGTCACATAGGCATGAACTTTCATTGACTGTCTCTGGCCTCTTTCTGGGAGAATGGGGGTTGGGATGCAGGCTTGAAAGTTCCAATTCTCTAATGGCTGATTATTCTTTCTGTGAGTATCCCCCACCCAGGAGCCCCCCCAGAGTCACCTTATTAGAACAAAAGGCATTCCTGTCACCCAGGGACTTCCCAGGGGTCAGAGAGCTCTGCATCAGGAAGTGAGGTCAGACTCCAAATCTTAGGACAAAAGATGCTCTGCCTGCTCTTACCTCTGAGGGAATAGCAAGGGATTTAGGAGCACTGTGCCAGGAACCAGGACAGAGAATAGACATATTTATATAAATACATAATTTTTATCTATTATTTCACATGCCTGTATTTCTTTTAAAAACCATTATTATTGGAATTGTGTTATTTGCTCAACGGTTCTTGAATGTCTGTTCGGTGGGCTGGTGGCCTGTGTGTGCGGGGTGCTCCAGAGATAAATAAAACATGCTTCCTGCTGTGAGAGGCTCACAGCCTTGTCTAACCAGACACATAAATCAGTAATTAGTTCAGTAAGATGAATACCTTAATACAGGCTAGAGGGAAAAAAGCCATTTAAGTTAACATGAACAAGCAGCTGAAGTGGATATTTGTTCAGGGGGTCACGCAGGCCCCCAAAAGGAAGGGATGTTTAGACTTTGTGGAGTGAGATAGAGGTTTACATTTCTAAAATACAGAGCACATTGGCAGTACCCACAGAGGAGGGATGGGGGTGATGGGCTGGAGAGAAAGGAGGTGCCCAGCTGTGAAGGCCTCTCATGCCACATCAGGGACTGTGGAATGTGTGGGGCAGGTGGTGCGATCACAGCTCCTATTATAAAGCAGACTCAGCAGGCACGTGTCCCTCCAGGTAAGCCAGTAGGCTGCAGGCAGAGTACCTGTGCTGCTGGAGCTTAGAGAGAGTAGACAGAGTGGAATAGACAGCCTTAGGACTCCTAGGCTGTAAGGCCTCAGAGAGGAGGAGCCGAGCTGATGGTTCCCCAAGGACAGATGTTACCAGAAATTAGGATACACAGAAGGAGAGTAGGGTAGTGTGGAAGAGAGGACAAAGCATTTGGACACCTTGAGTACTCAGGTAGAGACACCTAGCAGCATGTAAGAAACATGAGATTTTAATCTTAGGGGGGGATTTGGGCCCTGAAAAAAAGGTGCAGAATCATCAGTGTGCACATGGCGATGTGTAAACAGAATGGTTCTATTTTGTCTGTGAATCGTGATTATTTGTGTGTGGCTTGTGTGCAGTGTAGCCTTGGTGGCTGTGCACTACCTCTGACTCCAGGGGGCGCCATTTGCATAAACTTTACTGTATAATACCACAACAGCAGCAAATAATTTGAACGCTCACTATAATCAACAGGATTAAAAAAATTGCATTTAGGGCCTCCCTGGTGACACAGCAAGTTGAGCACAGTGCTGTGAAGCTGTCCGCAGCCTCTGCAGCACCAGTTCGATTCCTTGCTGGTCAGGGAGATACCCACGTGGCGTGACAGGCCTCTCCTGTCTCACCTGCTGCTCCCCTCAGCAGTGTGTTTCAGTCAGTCTGCCTGTTCTGCTCCCCACTCTGTCTCTGATGAATTCTCTCTCCCTCCTGCGCCTCTGGCCTATACCCCAGTTCTTGTATAAATAAATAATTCCTTTAAAAAATTGCATTTAGTTTTAATTCCAACTTGGTTTATTTCAACATGAATTTGACCTTTTCTGTGTTTTTATATTGTTAGGTACATTCATCTAAACAAGAGAGTGGTAAATTATGGCTTGCATGTCAAATCTGACCTACTGAAAGGCTTTATAAATAAAGTTTTACTAGGGCCTCCCTGGTGGCGCAAAAGGTTAAGCACCGCACTATGAAGCAGACCCGCAGCCTCTGCAGCACGAGTTCAATCCCCGGCCGGCCAGGGAGCAACCCACATGGCGCAGCAGACCTCTCCTGCCTCGCCCACTGCTCCCCTCAGCAGTGTGTGTATTTCAATCTGCCTGTTCTGCTCCCAGCTCTGTCTCTGGTGACTCCTCTCACCCCCCAACTCTGGCCTGTACCCCAGCTCTTGTATGCATAAATAAATAAATCTTTTAAAAAATAAATAAATAAATAAATAAAGTTTTATTAGAACACAGCCATGGGCATCTGTGGCTTTGTTCATGCCATAGTGGCAGAGTTGAAAAGTTGCAAAAAAGGAAGTTTGGCCTGCAAAGCCTATCATTTACTGTCTGACCCAGTACCCCCCAAAATTTGCCTATCCCTGACCTAAAACTAAAGAAATGTTTCTTTTCTTTTTCTTAGGAGAGCATGCTTCCCTGCATCTAAATTTTAACTAATGCTAGTAATCACATCTCTTTACCCATAGGGAAGGGTACTAGTTGCTACAACTATAGACAGCTAGAAACAACTACAGTACTGTGGAATGATATTATTAAAAGTATAGAAATAGGTTCATTACATGGAGAAGAAAAATGATAATTCTCAACTAATATTTACCTATAGATACCTTCTACTGTTAAGTCTCTAGAGAAGTATGATCTCTGTTACATCTCTAGGTAAGGACAAAAAGATAGAAATCATTTTAATTTAGTGATCTCCATCCCCAAACCTCAGTTATTTATAGAGTCTCCCCAGGGTCTTCATTTAGTGCTGAGTACTGGCTGCAGATGAGGTCCTTTTCCAGATAGAGGGAGGCCTGTGCTTCAGCCCAGTGCACCCTTGTCTCGGGATCATCCTGGATCATCGCAGCTTCCAAGGTCACAACCTCAACAGCAGGGGCCAGGACAGGTGACTACCAGTGTGCCCAGGTACAAAGGAACAACAATCCACCACAAAAAGGATTCTGGTAGAATATGGAAAAAGTGGTCATTGTTTCTTAGAGAAAGAGGAATTACAAAACAGACCAATCCCAACATAACAGGATGTACAGTATGGTCCCCACTGTACTTAACTCATCCAGGTGTGGGGTGGGAGAGGAGGAGGAAAATGATGATGAAAAGGATTTTCCTCAGGGTTGTGCAACTGGACTAATTTCCTCTTTTTTTACTAGACATTTGGTGAATTAATGCTGAGTGAATAAATAGGTCTCTGTTGTAAGGTGGGAAACAGGTGATTTTGTCTGTCTCTGTCTCCCTGCGCTGCTTCTAGGGGAAGTGGACTGTAAAGAGATTGGAGACTGTGTCCAGGGACCCGGAGCCACATCCCCAGACCTTTGCCTCCCCGCCCTGGATTACCTCAGGCGCTGCTCTCAGGTACGGGAAGCTCACTGTGTGACCTCCGGGCTCTGAGACTGGGCTCAGAAGATACTTACAAAGTGGGCCTCCCCGGTGGCGCAGTGGTTGAGCACTGGGTTGCGAAGCTGCTCGCAGCCTCCGCAGGGCCGGTTCGATCCCCGGCCACCGGGTGAGGGTCCCACATGGCGCACAGACCTCTCCTGCCGCCCTCTGCTCCCCTCAGCAGTGTATTTCGGTCCTTCTGCCTGTTCTGCTCCCTGCTCTGGCTCTGGTGAATTCTCTCACCCTCCCAAGCTTCTGACTGTACCCAGTGCTTGTATAAATAAATAAATAAATCTTTAAAAAAAAAAAAAATGCTTGCAAAGCATGCATGAAGCCCAAGAGAAATTCCTTCTGCTGTCCCTGAAGAGGTTGGGGTTTAGATTTAGAGTAGAAACTTTGGTTCCTACCCCTACCATGAAGGAGAGGAAAAAGTAATGAAAATGTGCTAGAACACACAATAGGACCATGACACTTCTGAAACTTCTCCTCTATACAAAGATGCAGGAACTGCAGTGATCTCTATTTGTGTTGGGCAGTAGGGGAAGGGATTTTGAGGTCACAGGAAATCTCTGATGGTACCAAAAGGTACAAGGCAGGGGAACAAACGTAGAAAAGTAAAGCAATGCTTAGCAAAGTGAACTGTGACCTTGGTTGTACGAAATCCAAGAATTGTCCTTATCTATGTGAAATGCCAGCAGAGCCAGACAGCACTTCCTCCTAAAGCCCTTGCTCTTCTAGGCTTTAGCCATACCCTGTGTCAGCACTTTTCCTGCCCTCTCCAGCTATGTCCCCAGGCCTCTTCAGGACAGCCTGACCTCTTCTTCCAGCTGCCTTCAAACACTCCACATGTCGTGACCCCCGGCTCCTTTTCCACCTGAGACCCTGCCTTCACTCCCTGTATCCCAACCACACCAGTTTTCGGACCCTCCATATACCCCACACATCACCACTCATGGCCTCTGCCTGGAATTTTCTCCAATCAGATCTGTTTGACACTCCTTATCCTCCAGCTCTCATCTAAAACATCACCTCCTTGGACCTGGGCCTGAATGTCAACTCTCTGCCACCATTCCTCTCACACCCCCTCAGCACTCTAGTATCATTAATTCTTCCTACAGCATTTATATGAGAAACTGTGTTATCTGTGACAGAATTATTGTCTGTCAAGCTCATAGGAATTTTGTCAGTCTCACAGCTGCGTTCCTGGTTTCTAGAACAGTGCAGGCACAGCAGGCACAATTCCAATTCATGAAGCTATAAGGATCCTTGGGAGTTGGTCCCAGTACCAGGGGTCTGCGGGGTCCCGAGTACTAGTACTGAGAAAGGAGGAAAGGGCCCAGGGCAGCCTGTTATCTCCACCTCTCATGCCTCTTCTCTCCCACCTTCCCAGATTCCTCTGCTTCTGCTTGCTCTGGTGCACTGTCCCTGGGGTGGAGTCAGGGAGAGGGAATCAGTCTGGTTTCCCACTTACCTATAGACTTTCTTCTCAGTGATCCCCATAGACTGCTTTCTTCCATAGGCAGAAATTCTTGGCATGTTTTGTGGTTTCCTTGGTAGGTTTATAAAAATCTCTAAAACTCCTATGTAATTGAGATGCTGGGAAAGTATCTGCAGTCATTTTCCTTTTTGTTGCCATTGACTACTGTTCTGTCTGCTTTGTGGGATAAATGCTCTTGTGAGCAACCTTTTGAATCCAAATCACAACTCAATTTTAACTTTTCATATGCTGAGAACTACTCTGATTTTCTCTCATTCTCCTGCTACTGCTGTGTAATTTTATTGTTCTTTAGCCCCCAAAATGCAGCTTTTTCCAATTATAATTGCTATTTGACTTTTTTTTTTTTTTTTTTTTTTTTTTAGTTATTGGCTAAAATCTACAAAATGCCCTTGAAGCCAATATTCCTTAGTGGGAGACTGGCTAGTTTGCCTCGAAGACTTCAGGAGCAGTCGGCCAGCAGTGAAGATGGAATTGAGTCAGTTCTGTCTGACTTTGATGATGACACAGGTAAGTTCATTTATTGTGTTCATATCGATGAAGTTTAAGGCATGAGTTAAGCAGCTTGTTACAGATCCTAAGAATGGTTGTCCAGTTATGTTGATATTGTTTGTAATTCTAACAAAACAAGTCTACCTAAAGTTTCCATGGACTCTCCAAAAACACCATTTTACATAGGATACCTCCAAGCCCATCATTTCTAGATTGATGACTCCTTGTAAAATCAGAGCTGCTCTGCATGTCCCACTAGGTAGAGTTTCTGACTAAATTCTCCTGAAGTTAGCAAATTGGAATGTGGTTGCCTTGGTGCTTGGGTACTTAAGGTGGCTGGTAATTGTCTTTATTGCCTTCTAGAAAACACAATCATTATGTAATTACTTCCTGCAGGACTATTTGGTTAGAGATTGGGGAAATTAAGTCATTACTGAAGAGAGGCTCTATTTGTGACTGGTGTAACTGAAAACTCATTACAAGAATGATCTTAAAGAATGTGTTTCAAATTAGTTTCCATGCAATTTCCTATGAATTGGAGTTCAATCTAGTAACTTTGGATAATTTCTAGATGGGTTATCTTGTACTCATGCCTGTTGTCTTCTGTCTCAGATGACCCTGTGCTATTCCTAAATCTGGAATTGGCAATGATATTCTTAAAGAGTTCTGATATCTGCACATAGGTTTCAAATCAGTGCAAAAAAAGCCTTTTTTGGTTCTCTTGGCTGTTTATTTTTTTTGTTTCTTTTATTCCATTACAGATTCATTCATGGGGGCTAGATGATTTATAGTTTTCCTTAGGGATTAAAAATAGTAAAATTTCACTAGTTCAGACAAATTTTGAGGAAACTATATAGAACAATAACTCTAGGAAAAAATATCTAAAGTAGAGGAGAACATTATAACTATTATATATTGGCTATATGATTCAGTATGAATAACTTTTACTTAGCATCTTAAACCTTTGATCCAGAAGCTGTTATCTATAATACAGGCTTTAAAACAATTGCAAACAGGTTGTGTGTGTTACAGTGAACATCCCCTGTCATCTGTGTAAATCATTAACCCATTTTTTTCTAGGCAGTCCATCTTCTAATGAAAAAAGTTCAGCCAAGCACCTACCTAAAATTTCCCACATTATAAATTCACTACGGATTTTCAAGTTATAATTATGTATGAAGCAAAACTAGATCAGAGGAAAGAATAAAAGTAAAATCTGTAAGTTAGTATTCACATTGATATATTCTTAGATATTATTCCTGTGGCTTCCAAAGGCCAAAAATTACTCCCCCCAACCCATTTCAAACACACGTCAAACTACACCAAATAGTATGGTGGACCTTCTTCTACTCATCACCCAGCTTCAACTGTTACTGACTTATAGCCCATCTCAGCTGTATATACATGCAAGTATATTGGCTCACTCCCCAGCCACTTCATCCATTTCATATTATTTTAAAGAAAATCCCAGACATTGCAGCTTTTCCTTTGTTTCACTGTGTTCTCTGAAGATAACAAACATAAGTATAATGTTATCACACCAAAAAAAATTAATAATTTCTTAGTAACCTAAATACCCAGTCAGTGTTAAAATTTCCAATTTTCTTCCACTCCTTCAGGATTCACATAATACTCACATTATGTGTTTGGCTGATAAGTCTTATAAGTTCTTTTTCAATATACAGATTCTCCTCTCTCTTTAACTGCCTTGTAGTTTATTTGTTGAAAAACTGAAGTCCTTTGCCCTGTGAAGTTTTCCGTCTAGATTTGATTGACTGCCCTGGCTTGAGTGGTGTGGAATGTGTTTTTCTGTCATCTGCATTTCCTATAAGTTAGCTGGTCATACCCGCTGATTTTGTGAGGGTCTTAAGAATTTCTTGTTGCCTGGTTTTATGATATTTATTGTCCATGAGCTTAATGATTTTGTCTCCTATTTATGGGGTTGTTAAAAACTACAGAACATTTTTTATAGAACTATTTAACTGCCAATTTCTGATATCTATCTTGTGCAGAAATATTAGAAGTCCTGAAATTCAAATGTAGGCTGGGCTTTTTTCACATTCTAAGTCTTTTTGTATATGGAGTTAGAGAAACTGAGTTCTCTTTCTACCTCTCACTTCACATACTTCAGAGGACAGTGATAAGCAGGTATGTTGACACATACAGTGCTTATGTAAATGACAAAGCAAGAATTGTTTGGACCATGTGAAAAGAATCTTGTGTTTTTTCCCCTTAATGTGCACTAGAAGTTATTATCCTCTTTTGAAACTTAAACTCAGAAAAGAAGAAAGAAGAGAGATGTATATAATGCTCAGGGCAAATAAGCCTGTTGATGCTGTGAGTGATATTTTCCCACCTATGAGCAATTTGTACATATACCAAATTGAGTGTGTCAGAATTGCAAACTGTACAATGGACATGAAAATGAAAAGTAATTTTTAGATTGTAAAAAGAAAATAGATTATAACTTAGAAGCAAAAGTAAAAATTAGATAACTTGGACTTCATCATAATTATGCTTCTACTTTTATACCCAGGGCTGGATTAAAAGGAGAATATAGTTATTGCTTAATAGTTTCTCTGAGCTGATGAAAGTTTTGGAAAGAGATACATAGGGTTGTACAGCACTGCCTGAAATTAATACCACTAAATTCTGGACATAAAATTGTTTAAAATGACAGTAGATAAACAATTTTGTTAAAGAATAAGACATGGAACTAAAAGGATACTATTTTACTATCAACTCCCAAGAAATCTGACAGTCATTTCACATAATATAATTTACATATGTATTTAAAGAGGCATAAGGAAAAACTTTGGGCATTATTTTTTCTCTTTTAACTTTGTCAGAACATATAAATCATAAGCTGACTGTCTGTAAGCTCTTAGAGGGCTACTTTACAGGGTGTTGGTTCGCATTCATATAGCACTTTATAGTCTGTAGGACTGTTTTACCCACAATGTTGAGTTCTTGCAGTAAGCCTGTATGATGTTTAGCAGGACTGTGTGGTTTCCAGGTCTGATAGAAGTCTGGATCATCCTGCTGGAACAGCTGACAGCTGCTGTGTCCAACTGTCCACGTCAGCACCAACCACCGACCTTGGACTTACTGTTTGAGCTATTGAGAGATGTAACTAAAACACCAGGTAAATATTTCTATGCCTATCTTTGAGGGAGTTGTTATAACTGTTTTCAGAAAAGTATATCTGTGTCTACCTGTTTCACTGCTGTAACCCTAACCTTAGCACAAAGCTTCATGCATAATGGATGCTCAGTTGGGTGTGTTGGAGCCTCACAATAACTTCACCATGGTTATGGCTTCAGGGTCTCCATCAGCCAGTTTGTTTTGTTATTTACATGATTCCATCTTCCCTCTCTGACTGGATTTCACATACTCTTGGCCCCAGTGCAGACAGTAGGGCTCAACGAATCTACCACTGACAAAGATAGCAACATCTTGATTGTAAAAGATATTTTGTGATCACCTAATACTTTGATAGTACAGGAAAAGAATGGTCCTTTGGAACTGAATTAATCAGAATCAAAACCACAAATGAAATGTAGCAAGAGGAGATTTTTATTCAACACAAACCAATGAAGACTCGATACTGCTTTCAAAGCCACTGCAATTAAAAAAAAAAAATCATAGGTACTCCCATATTCAGAGTGGAAAGCCTTCCATCTAAAATTAATTTTTAGAATTAACTATATGCCACTATTTATTGGTCAGTACTACTTTCTGTTTTTACATTACTACTATGTGAAGAACATTTAACTTAATATTCTCCTAGAAATCTATCATCAAAAGAATTAATATTAATGAAGACAAGTTATATAATGTTTGCAGAAACATGTACCAAAAGTATTTTGAACATCTAAATGGGCTAATTACATTCTGGTAAAAACATGTAAATATTCTGCAGGAATTAAAATGAATATTTGTGAATACTATTTAACAACATGAATAATTGTTTACAAGGTATTATGTTAAAGCCTATAGAGTACAATCTTAACTTTATGAAATTGTATGCATTTATAAATACGAATACATTCAAGAAGTACTAGAAGTAAATCCATAAAAACAGGTTTATCTTTCTGGGTAAGTTTTCTTCCTTTTTTTATTGTCATGTGTTTTCTATGTTTATAAAAACAAGACACTTTTTTGTAATGATCAGGGTTTTTTAAATCCATCAGTATAGGAATGGATAAGTAAACTGCTACATAGAAATTCAGTAGAATAATAATACATAGCAATAAAAGGAGGGTCTAAATTGCTGACACAGAATGTTCTCTAACACTTTGTTAAATGGCAAAAAAATCACTATGGCATACTAAAGATTACATTACCTGATTTACATGAAAGCAATAAAAAACTTCTGTTTTATATATCTACCTGTAATTTTACATCTGGAGACTAAAGAGTTGACCAAGTGATACTTTATCAGTATTTGAATTTTTACAAATATATTTATGTATTACTTATATAACTAATATGCAGAAATAAGGAAAATGCCACTGAAGACCAGATGTTCCCCAATCAGCAGTGAATATTTGTCCTTGTACCTTTGAGAGAGAATAGAGACTCCTTCAAACAAGATGGAGTGTCCCTTTTGTCAGAGGGGAGATGCTGCCATCACATTTATGATGCTGACTTTGTTTTTCAGGACCAGGATTTGGCATCTATGCCGTTGTTCATCTTCTCCTTCCTGTGATGTCCCTTTGGCTCCGTCGTAGCCATAAAGACCATTCTTACTGGGATGTGGCTTCTGCCAACTTCAAGCATGCCATTGGCCTGTCCTGTGAGCTGGTGGTGGAGCACATTCAAAGCTTTATCCACTCAGGTATATCTATCGTGCCAGAGCAACTCAGACTGAGTATTTTCTTATTTCCTTAATAGGCAGCATGGCTAAAATGGCTTAGCAAGTACCTAATGTGAACACCAGTGCATAATTTTTGTCCTGAGAACTATTACAATCACACGGTCACTACCAACCTTCTAACAATAAATTGTCAAAAAGATCACTGGTACCCAATAGAAGTGCAATTAAAAATACCTAATAAGGTACAGGATGTCTGTGCATTAGGAGTGGGGAAGCAATACCTTACATGTCTGTTACCTACTTAGGAGAATATCCATAGTCTGGGGAAGGAAGGAGGCACAGGCTTATTGTCCTGCCGCACCAGGACTGGCTACATAGAGGAGGTAAGGGCAAGAAGGTGCTTAAGTTAGGAGTGAAGAGAAGCACCTAATGTCTATGGCACTTTTAGAAAGATTTGTTAGTGTTTGGTAGACAGTATGTCAGCTGTGATACCAATGGAGTAACAATGGGAAAGACAGATCTTGCTCATGATTCTTGCCCTGGGAAGACCTAAACATCGCTGCTAGCCCTGGAGGGATAAAGGAAGAGGTGAAGGGGCTCCCTCATTGGAGAAACTAATGAGAACATTCACTCCAAGGGAGAACCAAAAAGCAAAGGTAAGTGAACAGTAATTAAGAAGGAAGAGGGTCTTTCCCAGGTTGGTGATTAATGTAACCCTAACATAGATATTCTAGATCCAGTCATTGTTTTATAGATATTTTCCTTGAATTGGACAAACAGAATGTGATTTTTTGGAAGTTTTTCTCTTTAGGGATAGACTGAAGCCAGACTGAAAAGATTCGAAAGATTTTCCAAGAGCATTTAATTATCAGTTTGGCTATCAGCAATAAGGAAAGTAGGTTTTATTCCACCCCTACCCCTAAGAATTTAAAATTTTTATGGGCTAATATTCAGGCTTTAGAATATATGTTCTATTCTGTTTAAGTAGATACAAGTATCTACTTAAACTTTGAAAACTGTCCATCAACATAAAAGTAATCCTTATATATCAAGATGAACTATGTAGAAATGGATGAAACAGGTAGACTTACATTAGGTAAAAATTCAAAAATGTTTTAATGAGGCAGGGGTGTTGGTCATGGCCTTTTTCTCCTTCCTTAGTTTCTTTTCCCCAGACATGTATAGATCTTTTCATCAAATGTTTTGCTTTTACAGTAGATGTCACTTCAGCCCATTCCTTATAATCAGGTCGAGTGAAATCTGACTTCTTCCTGTAGATATCAGGTATGAGGGCATGATCAACACCATGCTGAAGGACCTCTTCGAGTTACTGGTGGCTTGTGTAGCCAAGCCCACAGAAACCATCTCCAGAGTGGGCTGCTCCTGTATTAGGTAAGAAAATGGGGCCTGACTCTCCTCAAAACTAGAGATGCTGTTATGAAATCCAAGGGTATTAAATAACCACTTGTGGTAGCAACCTACTTCTTAGATGCTTTTATAAGTAAAAATGACTACTTCATTTTTGATAACTGTTCATTTCAGTCTGCAGTGTCTGGTGTAAGGCATTATACAAGGTACTCTGCTGCCATGAATGCTAGAAGCCAAGGTCTCTGTTCTCAAGGCCATAACAGAGTCCAGGGAAATACTAGTAAGGAGTAACTATAAATGTCCAGAAAGGACAGGACGTGGCATAGGGTGGTGAGCAGGGCTTGCTGCAGTAGAGACACTTAGATCCCCCAGGGGAGGTCAACTTTGGATAGGTGGGGAATTTGCAAGCAGGAGAACATATTGAACAAATGCATGATGATAAGAATTGTCAGTGATAAGAAGTAGTCTTATTTGTAGAGGGGTAGTAGACATGAAAGCCTATGTGTGAATATTGGCCTATTTTAATAGGACTGCATTGATGTTTTAATACAAAGTCATTTAGGAAACAAAATTCAAGACTTCCATCCTTGTTTCTTTTGGCAGGTATGTCCTGGTGACAGCAGGCCCCGTGTTCACAGAAGAAATGTGGAGGCTGGCCTGCTGTGCACTGCAGGATGCCTTCTCTGCCACACTTAAGCCAGTGAAGGTAAATACTGGGAGGGGAGGACTCAGCAGGACCACCCCCCTCCCCAGCACCCTGCTGCTTCATCAAATTGGGGGCATGCATCCTGCCCTCCTCATCGCGGGCACTCTTACCTGAAATCTTGCCCTGGGTGAGAAAGATGCTTCTGGTTCGGTACCAGTGACCAGGTCATATCCAAGGCAGGTCCCAGAGCCTTGAACCCAGATACACCCACTGAAGGTCTGCTGTGTTTTCTCTTAGGATCTGCTGGGCTGCTTCCACAGTGGCACTGAGAGCTTCAGTGGGGAAGGCTGCCAGGTGAGGGTGGCAGCCCCCTCCTCTTCCCCAAGTGCCGAGGCCGAATACTGGCGCATCCGAGCCATGGCTCAGCAGGTAAGGCCAGGGCTCTCAAAGCTTGAGACACTGCCAGGAGTCCTTACTGAAGGTCTCACCCCACTCCGACTCATTCCTTGCGGAAGGGACCTCCACCTCCTGGCTCATACCTCTTGGCAGTGCTTCTGCTACTATCTTTACTAGGAACGACTTCAACCTACGTCAATCAGCAGTCATACTTCTCTCCACCACATACATAACATGACTTGCTCACATTGCTTATATTCTAAATATTTGCTCAAATGTTGTTACTGCCAGTCTGTAAGTGCCTGTGGATGGCAAGCTGATATTTTTCCCTTATGCTTCCATACAGAGCAGGTGCTTTAAATGCTGGTGTCAGTAAAATATCCTTATGGCATTAGCACAAGCTACAGCTATACCCCCCAAGAAACCCTATGGTGGGGGGGGTGCTTTTATCAGGTGTTCATTTAAGCAATGTTCCCTAATTCACATATCTTCCTAACAATGCTGTTCATAGAAAAAAACAAAAATTTCCAACAGTCATTGGCTAAACACCATCATGTAGTAACAGCACACACAGATGCAGAAGATAATTTGCACATGTGTAAAGTATGCAACTTTTAAAATAAATATTTGCTATTTGAGCTGCACTTGTAAAAATAGTGAGTTGGGGGTTATATTCAAAAGGCTTCCCTTCAACGTAAGGTATACTTTCATGCTTAATAAAATGTTCCCTCAGCACACTGGTAACCCAGGATGTCCTGTCAGTGTAAATGCAGTCATCTGCACATTGTCAGTCAAGCAATTTCCTGACCAGGTTGGTTTTTGGAGGTTTCCTCACTGCAGAGAGTGGGCAAAGACCTTCCACATTCAGCTTCTCATATCTGCCGAGCACAGTCAGGACATCCTGGGACATGGTGCTTCTGCTGTTAGAAAGGGAGAGAATGACATCCCTGTGCAGTCTCCCTGGAGTCCTCAGAGGCTGTGGCCATCAAGTCCAGCCAAGAACCCTTACAGAGAAGCCAGGAGGGTGGTCTTCCCAAGATAGCTTCGTCTCTACCTAGCTGATGAGGATTCTCCAGACACGTGCAGTGGTCTTTCCTGCCTCATCTCAAGGGTATGAGAATGTCAGTAGAATCCTCTCCTAAAGTACCTCATTGGTGGAAAAGAACAGCCAAGATCATTAATGGATCTTTTACTACTTAGTATTTCTCAAACCTTTACTCACTCTTAAAATAGTCTACTATTCAATAATCTGATTATTGCAAAATCTGGGGGGGGAGGAACTCCTTTAAATACTTTTACTTCCAAAGGGAAGTGGTGAAGGGGAACTTGGAAGCATTTGGTTCAGAGATCTGGAAGTGGCTGCTGTTTCCTTAGCCATTTCTCTCAGGACCACCTCAGTCATCACGATAAGAGAAGTCCCAATTTCTCATTGCTGTGTTGCATAGAATACTATTCCGAGCAGATCATTTTACAAATATAGCCCGTCTTTATTTACTCTTAATTAATATTAAATGTCAGTACTTGCTATTTGAATAGTAATGAATTATGTGGTAGAAGTAGTAGTGTTATTAGTATTAGTTTCAGCAGCTTACATTTATTATTTACTCTTCTGTTCTAATGACTTGTCTGTGTAATGCACATGTTAATTCACTTAATTCTCTCAACAAACATACCAAGTAAGAAACCACTACCTGCATTGCTTTACAGGTAAGAAATTGAGTGGAAAGCATAAGGGCCCTCTAGCTGATCCCTGGTGGAGTCTGGGCAGGAGGGTGAAGGTCTGAATTGTGCCTTTGTTTACCTGTGCAGGTGTTTATGTTGGACACCCAGTGTTCACCAAAGACTCCAAACAATTTCGATCACGCTCAGTCCTGTCAGCTCATTATCGAACTTCCTCCTGATGAGAAGCCAAACGGACACACCAAGAAAAGGTAAGCACTAAATTCAAACATGCAAGGAACTTAAATATAGAAAGTATTTAATCCCAGTTCTGCTCACTGTCCTCCAAGCTTTGGCCAGAATACTGAAAACATTTGTGGAGTCTTTCAGCAAAGGTTTTCATTAAGAACTGTTAGTGTCTTAGCCAGATTGCCCACATTTCACATGTATGAGTTTTCTAGAGTTGTCATCTAACCAAGTACCACAGACTGAGGGGTGTAGACAAACAGATCCTTTCCCACCATTCTTGAAAGTAGAGTCTGAGGTCATGATCTCAGCAGAGTTGGTTCCTTCCCCTGCACCTGTCTCTTCTTATAAGGACAGCAGCCATGCTGGGTAAGACCCACCTTCATGACTTCGCCTAATTATTTCTTTAAAGACTTTTTCTCCAAAAGTTGTCAATTATAAGGTGATGTAGGTTAGGATTCAATATACGAATTTGGGGTTGGGAGGGGTAGACACTACTCCCCCATCTATAGCATCATACACGTAATTTTAAAAAAAAATAGCTATAATTTGAGGCATGATTCATTGTTTCCGTGTGAGAAACAAACTTCTCCTTAGCAATACAGCTATTAAGAGACAGAAGGAGCTGTGCCCCACCAGAGACTTGCCCCCTTTTAAATACGATCAGCCATCCTGAAAACTCTTACCCTCGAGTTGGAGGTGCAATGACTAAGGTTCCTATCTTGAACCTTCTAGCAGCACACTGATGGGAGTGAGAACTGGAGTCCTATATGTGATGCATTGGTTAGCTGTCTCCACTGAGAGAGACTGTAGTAATATTTGATTTTCCTGTCAAAGGGAACTAGAAATATAAAGGAATATTTAATTGAAAATTTGAAATAGAGCATCAAAATCTTTTTAGAAATAATGTGAATTTAGAAATAATGCTTATATAGCACTTTGATTTAAAAGTACCTAAAAATTTTGCTTAATCAAGTATGTGAGTTCAAAAATTGTGATGTATGATAAACTAAAAATCTTCCCAACCCAACGTCAGATATAGAACTTTCTCAGCCTCCCAAGTATTCCACCCCATTACTCTCTACCACAAGGCCTGGTTTTTAAGTGTTAGTCATCTTCATATTTTTTATGTACTGAAGGTAATGCATTGATCTATTTCAAAATTTCAATTAAACTTTCCTTTATATTTCTAGTTCCTTTTGACAGGAAAATCAAATATTACTACATTATTGGCTTAAAATGTATTTCATAAACAATTAGAAACTCCTGAGCCAAAAAACACTCACCAACATTCTTTAATAGGAGCTGTCAGCCAAATGTATATTTGGCATTCTTGGACTTACAGGCACTTAATTCAGCATAGTATCTGATATAAAATGAGTTCAACCTGAGTAAAGTTTGTTCATATACAGGTCAGGTAGATTCTCATAGGTCTCCCCGTGTTGAAATTACCTGTGGGAAAAAAAATATGTAAGTTAAAACTAGATTGCAATATTGAAGAGAAATCTGGACTTTTTTTTTTAATTGCATTGACAAAAAAATTTTAAAAATGAAATAAAATTGCATCGACATTACACAATCCACATAATCTTTAGCAGAGCTTTAAACGTTAAATCTGTCTGATGCTGACATGCAGCTAACTCTCTATTATCCAATGAGGAAGCTGGCACACCCTTTGCCTTAGAAGCAGGAAAGGAAGAAGTTAGTTTCACCACTTCACAGTCCCTTCCTTAAAGGGTATGCTGAGAGAAAGTTTGAAACACTTGGATATTATGAATCAAAAATAATTGTTCCAGGTCTTCTCTGCACATCAACTCTTAAAAGTTGCTTATCTATAAGCAGTTCTATCAGTTTAGTATTTTTCTGAAATTTTGATACCTTCTGTATATGTTGCTCCTCTTTTTTCTTGTCGCTGAATCATTTTTAGCTTGATCCTAAAGGGAATTCCCTGTTCCTTTTTATATGCACAGTTAGCAGTTTTCTATCTTAAAGCATCAAACAGAATATCTTAAGATACTTCACATATTGCTTTGATCTGCCCTCTCTCTAAATGGTTGCTAGTAAAAGGCTTTTCCTTTCTCAGAAAAAGTAACAGAAGCTACCTTTAGAAGGCCAATGAGACACCCTTGGGTTGTGCCTGTTCATGCAGGTGGCCGGGGCAGTGGGACACAGGGTCAGGGACCTTTCTAGAGCAGAACTTGTCCTCCAGGCAGTGATCTACTCAGGCATCTGCACTCAGAACCCTTCTGTTGGTGTTCTATGGTTTGCTCTGGAGACTTAGTGCCACTTTTACCAGATATTTTCCTAGGCCCTGGAGGACTTGGGATCGAGGGGGGAGAGAGACTAGAGAGTAGATTTAAGTAAATGGTGAAAGGATTTCTTTCTCTAGTTCATGCCCTGTAGTTGTGGACATGGAGCACTAGAACACATTGGTGGCTCTCAGAACCTTTTTCAGAAGAATGCACATTGAGGTTTCTTGATATTTAAGTAATTTATCAGAAGTTACTTAAATAGGAGTAGGGAGAATAGGGAATTACTGAATAGTTTCTATTGGAATGATGAAAATGGTCTAGAAATATAAATTAGTAGTAATTACCCAACTTTATGCCCTCCCATTGTACTTTTTAAAATGGTTAAAACAATAACTTCGTTATATATACTTCCACACTTTGTTAGGCTACTATTTGACAACTTCTGTTACTCATTCCAACACTGAACAAAAGAAGATCTGCATTTAAATGTAGACAAGGACTTCTGTTCTTTTCTGCTAAAATTTAAAAAAATATTTTTCCTGTTATATTTTAAGGGTATAGCTAATATTTTGCTTTTTAACCTTTGTCAAGATTAACAATGGCTGCATCTCTGAAATCGATTTAGTAAGCATGGTCATAATTTTATAATCATTAGCAATGGGAATTAGTTTGCCACATAAGCTATTTATGTGAAATTCTAAGAGCAATGAAAACCACATGAAACCATAAACTCCAAACCACTGTGGTGAATTAAAATGCTCAGTCAATGCAGTACCTTGAGTTGAAGTTGTTTTCTTAGTACAAGAATCCAACCAAATCAGAGGCCCTGAATCACCAAATATTTGAGCTTTTACTTCTCAGGCTGCCTTATCTAAGCTGTGCCTACTACCTAGGTTTGCTTTAAAAGGCTGTGAGTTAAATTAACAGTGCAGACTGTAAGTTTGCAATGCCAAGAGCATTAGTATTGTTCACTATTTGTCTCCGCTCTATCTCCCATGTTGGAATCACTGAAGTCTTCATATATATATATATATATATATATATATATATATATATATATATATATATATACCTAACACGTTAACATGTAATCCTGGAAAACTTCAATAATATTGCTAAAATTTTTGGGTTATTTAACAGGCCAAGGGATAGATTAAAGGGTCAACTAAAATGATTAGAATTCAGCAGAAATTGTTATATGAATTATGACTCAATTCTGAAAGAAAATGTCAGAACAGTTTCAGAAAACTTAATGTATTTCCTAAAGCATGTTAATTATTACCAATTTAATAGCTCCTGGAATTTAAAAAGTGTCAGGAATTCCATTCATCATGATTAAAATGATTACCCTGTAATGCCCCCAAGAAGTTTGCCTCCTTCTAAGGGAGACATTAACCTACAAGTAGCTTAGTGTGTGATTTTGCATATATCATCCTGAAATGTATAATGTGTGAATCTCATCTGACTGATAGATGGCAGAAAGCTACTAATCAACCCCTTTGCTTTCACCTCAAGTGTTTCTTTCAGAGAAATTGTGGTGAGCTTACTATCTCATCAGGTGTTACTCCAGAACTTATATGACATCTTGTTAGAAGAGTTTGTCAAAGGCCCCTCTCCTGGAGAGGAGAAGACCGTCCAGGTGCCAGAAACAAAGCTGGCTGGCTTCCTCAGATACATCTCCATGCAGAACCTGGCGGTCATCTTTGACCTGCTGCTGGACTCGTACAGGACGGCCAGGGAGTTTGACACCAGCCCCGGGTTGAAGTGCCTGCTGAAGAAAGTATCTGGCATCGGGGGTGCAGCCAACCTCTACCGCCAGTCTGCCATGAGTTTCAACATTTATTTCCATGCGCTGGTCTGTGCTGTCCTCACCAATCAGGAAACCATCACTGCCGAGCAAGTGAAGAAGGTCCTCTTTGAAGATGATGAGAGAAGCACAGACTCGTCGCAACAGTGTTCGTCAGAAGACGAAGACATTTTTGAGGAGACTGCCCAGGTGAGTCCCCCTCGAGGCAAGGAGAAGAGGCAGTGGAGGGCTCGCATGCCCTCTCTGAGTGTCCAGCCCATCAGCAATGCCGACTGGGTGTGGCTGGTCAAGAGGCTCCACAAACTGTGCATGGAGCTCTGCAATAACTACATCCAGATGCACCTGGACCTGGAAAGCAGCATGGAGGAAGCGCCCATCTTCAAGAGCGACCCCTTCTTCATCCTTCCCTCCTTCCAGTCGGAGTCATCCACCCCGTCCACTGGCGGGTTCTCGGGCAAAGACACCCCCTCTGAGGATGACCGAAGCCAGGCACGGGACCACCTGGGCGAGTCTCTGAGCCTGAGGGTGGGGGGCGGGGAAATGCTGCTGCTGCCCCCCAGCCCCAAGGTGGAGAAGAAGGATCCCATCCGCAAGAAAGAGTGGTGGGAGAACGCGGGTAACAAGATCTACACCATGGCAGCGGACAAGACCATTTCGAAGCTGATGACGGAATACAAGAAGAGGAAGCAGCAGCACAACCTGCCCGCGTTCCCCAAAGAGGTCAAAGTGGAGAAGAAGGGTGAGCCGCTGGGCCCCCGGGGCCAAGACTCCCCACTGCTGCAGCGTCCCCAGCACCTGATGGACCAGGGGCAGATGCGGCACTCCTTCAGCGCCGGCCCCGAGCTGCTGCGGCAGGAGAAGAGGCCTCGCTCGGGCTCCACCGGGAGCTCCCTGAGCGTCTCCGTGAGGGATGCTGAAGCACAGATCCAGGTGGGTGCTGGGCTCTGAGAACCCCCCCCCCACTCCCCGCACACTCAGACTGACCAGGCTGCCAGGTCACCCCACAAGGCAGGCCCGCCCGAGTCTAGAGGGAGGACTGCTCTGTCCGTGATCCATGAGACACGGCAGTTTCCTCCTGTTCCTTTCAGGGATTGTATTCATGAGTTAATCAATGAGTTAATCAGATGTTCCTGAGAATCAGGTGTCCCTGGATAAATAAGACTAAGCTAAAGCTCGTAGAGTAAGGGGCCTCCCCTGCTGGCGCAGTGGTTGTGCGCTGGGCTGCGAAGCTGCCCACAGCCTCTGCAGCGCCGGTTCGAGCCCCGGCCGTTCGTTCGCCCGGGCCCGGGCCCCGGCCGTTCGTTCGAGCCCCGGCCGTTCGTTCGGGCCCCGGCCGTTCGTTCGGGGGCCGGACCCCGGCCGTTCGTTCGCTCGTTCGGGGGCCGGCCCCCGGCCGTTCGGGGCCGGGCCCCGGCCGCTCGCTCGGGCCCGGGCCCCGTTCGTTCAAGCCCAGGCCCCGGCCTTGCACACTGGCAACGGTCCCACATGGTGCGCAGACCCTTCCAGCCATGCTCGACTGAGTCTAGAGGGAGGACGGTCCCACATGGTGCGCAGACTCCTGTTCCTTTCATGCTAGTACTGTGTAATCAGATGTTCCTGAGAATCAGGTGTTCCTGGATAAATAAGACTAAGCTAAAGCTTGCAGAGCAAGGGGCCTCCCCTTGGTGGCTCAGTGGCTGAGCGCTGGGCTGCAAAGCTGCCCACAGCCTCTGCAGCGCCGGTTCGAGCCTCTGGTGAGGGCCAAGGCCTAAGGGACTAAAAAAAAGCTTGCAGAGTAGGGACCTCCCTTCATTGCTCAGTGGCTGAACGCTGGGCTGCAAAGCTGCCCACAGCCTCTGCAGCGCCGGTTCGATCCCTGGCCTCTGGCGAGGGCCAAGCCCACTGCCTCCCGAGGGTCCCACCCGAAAAAAAAAAAGCTTGTAGAGTAGATAGACTTTAGTCCGCAGTTAATCATTTGAGAACACTGAAGAGATTCTGAGTTATCAAGAATTATATAAAAAGGCAAAGTACATTTTATAGGTTTATAGCAATGAATTGTTTAACTCATGTTTTTCTGACCCATCATTTCTAATTCAATAGTACATCAAAAAGGTAATCTGGAGAAACCTTTAAAAATCATCTGAAAGTCTTTCTACATTTAAATCTAGTTTTTTTACGTTATAGACACCTGTCAATGGGCAGAATGATCTTAGGCCCTGGGATTCTATGAATCCCCAGAATTATCTTGGGCTAGATTTGCAAAAGTATCCAAACTGAGCTGTATAGTTATTCTTCAACAGTGACTTTCAAGTCATTGTAAATTAAGGTAGATTTTCCAAATTTTCTGAGCACTGTAGGGACTTAACTTTCAGATGGCATATGGTCATCTTGTTATGAGTTTTCATAAATCTAAGAATAGATGTGATTTTTGTTATTTGTAAAAGCTGAAAAGGTTTTTCTAATGTTAGGAGTCTGATTCCTTATTTATTATAACCATGGCTTAATCACACCTGAGAATTCAGAGAAAACAGATAATTCTCTTAAATCCTTTGTCCTAGGCATGGACCAACATGGTGCTAACAGTTCTCAATCAGATTCAGATCCTCCCTGACCAGACCTTCATGGCCCTGCAGCCGGCAGTGTTCCCGTGCATTAGCCAACTGACCTGTCATGTGACTGACATCAGAGTTCGCCAGGCTGTGCGAGAATGGCTGGGCAGAGTGGGCCGTGTCTACGACATCATTGTGTAGAAGCCCACAGGGATAAAATGCAGTACAAGGAAACAGCAGTGAGAGCAAGCGGTCACCTGGCGATCCATCGAATAGCGTTCTCACCACCACTGAAACCTGTTCTCAGTCAGCTGTTCCCAAACGAATCAGCATTGGCGCCGACCTGGATACCCAGGCTATCTCTAGATAACACAGACGGTACTTTGGTTTTGCACATTATTTCAGAAGAGTCCACATTCCTTGCCACATTTCTAAATCTTGAAGTTTAATTCCCAGTGCTTTTACCTGCAGTGTTAGGGTCACTTTCAAGAACCACGCCTTTGAAAACACATTGATGGTCATTTTTAACACAATTACTGAAGAAAGATCTACTGTTAAATGCAGCTGATACATAAGCATGCACGTATCTAGTACCAGATATTAGTCATTGGAGGCAGCTTTAAATTTTAATTATGGGTTTGGTGGGCAAGAAAAGTTAGAGAAATATAGTCTTAGGTGTTATAATCAAGAAAGGTAGGACTTACTCTAAAATTTCACATTTCAAAATTATTCCTAAATTGTTGATATTTTTTGGTTGGTATTCACCAACTTCATGTAAGGTACTGTTATGCCTCTATTTCCCTACTTCTGAAGGAAGAAAATCCTTTCCTGTCATGGTTTGGAGTCTGTGGCATGACAGCCTTTGATATACTGTACCTAGTAAATGTTCCAGATACTGCCACGGGGTGTGAGCAGCCACTCGGGCTGACCTGCTAGTCTCTGCTTTTGCTCCCAAGGCCAAAAAGGAAAGAAAAAATGGTGCCTTAGTCCCTTGTTGCACAGACATTTCTATGGTCCACAGTTATCTAAATATAGTATTTGGCTTTTTAAAAAACAAACATTAAAATGCAGCTCATTTTATATCAGCACCCTTGGAGGAAAGGAACTCAGATCTCCATTTAGTGAGCGGTCTTCTCAGGGAAGAGGCAGAAGATGTGGGGTAGGGAGAAAGCCGAAAGGGATGGGAAAGGTATTACAGTGAAATCAATTTTAGTCTTAAAATATTTTATAACATCATTAAATTATGGTGTCAGCTATATAAGCTCTAGTCTCAGAAAAAAATAAGACTAAAGGAGGAGGAGGAGGCACAAAATAAAACATAGGAAATGAATTTTTAACAGTTTAAAATATTTCTCACTGGCAGGTGAATTTACCCTACGTCTGTGATCTATTATTTTAAGTGGATTTTTTTCCCTAAAAATGACTAGAAAATCAGTTTAGAATATATTATTTATGATGACTGAAAGTCTTCAGCCCACACACATACATTTTAGAGAGTAGTTAGTTGCTATGATATACATTATAATTTTCCTAGCCCCTAAAATGCATTCATAACAAAATGTCATTTTTAAAAATAAAGCATCAACTCTTCAATATTGAATTAAGGACTTACAGCTGACAGCTTTATTCAGTGCTGGTATTTGTAAACAGTGTCTTGAGAATTATGTAAGTATCCACAAGAGTGAGTGAAAATTGTTCCTAAGCTGTCATGGAAGGCAGAGTTGTGATTTATCTAGGCAATCTAAAAACAAGAACCTTCTTCACTATGCCATCTAGAAATCACCACCACAGGCTCCAGAAGACACTCTTTCAGTTCCTCGAAACATTCTCCTTGCCTTCCATTTTAACTCATTAAACAATAATAATAATTCAAGTTTAGAAACAGCTCAACTATTTGATGAGTTTTGGGGATAACAATGAGCTGCATTCCGTCCTTTGAAATTTTAAACTTTGTAACTTATCTGAGGTTCAGGGCTCTTTAGTGAGCCCATGAGTACAGCTTCAGTGAAGGGAAGTATCAAATTAGAGTAACTACACACTGTTTACATGTGGCCACTTATTATAAAGTACAAAAATTCAAGGGAGATCAGCCTTTTATGAAGGTCATGTCCAGAAGTTAGCTGTCTAAACACTGCCCTAGCAAGGGTCCAGAGAACAAAATGTCAAGTGAAGGCACATAGCTCTGTACTTGCAATTTTTGTGAGAGGGCTGGGTCCTTTACCATTCTCTTTTCTATGACCCACTGGAGGCCAACATTGGACCTCCCTTCACAGCGTACTCTAATCCACATCCATGCCAGATTTCAACCAGAAAATAAGCTAAGTCCCAGTAATACCTCTAAGAAGTATATGCATTTGTCAAAACAGACTTTCCTTGATGCAAATAATCTCAACAAATAGGACTCAGGTCAGGAGGAGCGGGGGAGATTATTAGGAACACTTGGTGGCCAGTCCCTCACTCTTCCTGGTACCTGGCTTTGCCTCTCTCCCCCCGCCCCCAACTTCCTTCATTGTCTTGAACAGTGGCAGGTATTTTTCTCTCCACACTCATATGGCAACAGTCAGATCAAGGTCGAGACCACCTTTGCAGTTTGGAACAGCTATTACCATGTATTTATAGACGTGAGATAAACACAACATTGCACATTGCTTTTAGTTGCCTGTACTGCCAAGTGTATGCTACACACTAAGGCTGAAAGATTTGCTTTCTCCTGTTCTGGTGAAGTGTGCACCATGAAAGCAGCACCTGGACAACTCAGAGGAATTGCTGACTGAATGGCCCAGCCAAGTACACACACATCAGACTGCTCCCACCACTAGGGGGCAGAGGCTGGATGGAGGCTGTTTGAATTCCCACAGGCACTCTCCTAGCTCTGGCTTCTCCTGACCAGCTTTTAAATATGCGTGGTTACCTTTTTACCATCTTGTCTTCTCTCCCTGTAACTTTTCCAGCCTTCTCCACAATCACAAAGCTAGGCCACTCTGACACTATCTAAATGACGATAAAGACAGATAATGACATACACAGTAGCTCAGATTTTTTTTTTTTAATGTTCTTCACTAGTCTGATCTGGTCTCCAAATACAGTTGACCAGTATAGGTTGTCAAGTGAAGTGGATGAAAGGAATGCTTGATTTTAAAAAGACGGTTTTTCCATTTCCAGAGGGAGATAAAAAGGTAGAAGTAAGGAAGTGTTTGAATTGTCAGTGGGTAAAGACCTCTGCCCCTTTCATGCATGTTTGTCACAGCTCACCATCATTCCGTAACTCCAAAAGTACCACTAAATTGGAACTTCCTGCCACACTATCACTATATTTTTTGTTCTTGTTTTAAGAAAACTTCTACAGAGTCAGTTAAAAAAAAGTCAAATAGCCTTAACTGTAGGAAAGTAATACACTTATATAATAGATATATATTGACTTGACTTCCCCAAATACACCACAATATACAGGAAAAGTTCTCTTTCTCACAAAGGAAGAGCACTTTTGTGTCAGTACCATCAAACTAAAGGAGGAAGGCCTTTGTAGCTCATAACAGACAGCAGAAAGGAGGTGACATTTGTGGAGGTGCCAGTGACTGTGAACCTTTACCTATGTTTTTATTTAATTCTCACAATTACCTTGTGAAACAATAATCCTCATTTTTACAGATGAAGACACAGACCCAGATTAGTTAACTTGCCCAAGATGACCAGCAAATGGCAAAGCTGGTGGCAAGAGAGGTGTCCTGAATTCAGAGGCCACGCTCTCTCCTCCACACCATGTCTAAGCTCCCAGGGTAAATGCTTTAGTGTTTCAAGGAATTAAATGGTTAAAATGAGCTGAAAATACTGATTGAGGTCTCAGATCTAGAACGTGGAGTGGGGCTAGGATCCAAATATGGTTTTAAGAAGGAAGTGAGTGTTTATACATAGAAATTTTATACATATAATTTTTTTGAATGTTTGAAAATAAAGCAAGCAACATCTAAATTTTCATCTTAAAGTGAACCTCCAGAGGTAATTTAGAGAATTCAAATAAGGTGGAAATGATGGGATATTACTGTTCATGGCCAGCTGTTATGCAGAAAATCATGACACTGTGTCTGGAATAACATGCACAGTTTGTACGCCTTTTTTCAATTACCACTTAATCACTCAGAATAAAGTGCCCTGTAGCCAACAGTGCCTCTACTTGCTTCCTGGCAAGTATATAGTACTAAAATTATAGGTCTTATCAAAGTTTGGAAATATGCAAAATGACCATTTTTCAAAGAATACATTCTCTGAAGAGGAAACCACTGGTAGAACAAGATTATTTAAAGATCCAGGTACTGAGGGCATCAGGTCAATACCATACCATGTACCACAACGCCTAAATATTTCTACTTGCTTTGCAGACAAGGAAACTGACAGAAAGAACATTCAACATATTGCAGTAACCTAATGACAGAACTCACATATGCTTGGGTACCATTATACAATCCTAGTGAGATTTAGAGTGGCCTTAACAGAGCAAGACTGTTTTAAGCACTTTTCATTGGAAATATGAGCTGTGTGTTGGGCAAGATTTATGAAATTGGTACAGAACTCAGAATTATGCCTCATCAAGAAGTTCTCCTTATTCACTAGGGGAGCAATTTAGAAAACTGTCTTTTTGTGAGATTCCCTTCCTCTGTCTGTATTGTAAAGTTTGTATTTGATGTGGAAATAACAAAGAACTTAAAGTTTTGAACTAGAACACCATTTAGATTTCCAAAACAATTATTACTTCAGGGAAGATAGACCAAAAAATATATGTAAGCATCCTCTGGGATAGTCTAGGAGAAACTCAGCTGAGAACTATGCTCCGTTTACTTATAAACAGTGGTACCACTAATTAATTGAAGAAAACACACTACCACACCACATACAGACCACATACAGTCCCATATAGAACCTTCCCCCCACTGTCTTTGAGTAGTGAAGCAGGGGGGGCTCCAGGGAGGAGAGACTAACCATCTTAGTAACAATGCCAGTCAACTGCTGGTGAATCCCATCCAACAATGGTCTTTCCAGCCTTTGTACTACCAAGAATTGTTTATCCTGTTGCTTCTTATCGCAAAGGCTTAAGTAGTCATTACCTAGTGTCTTTGGACTTTAGAAAGTGGTTCTCAAACTTCAGCTCACATCAGAATCACCAGGTGAGCCTGTTAACACAGCTAGCTAGGCGTAGGCCCAGTGTCTGATTCAGTAGGTCTGGGAACTTGCCTTTCTACCGAGTTCCCAGGTGAGGTCAATGCTGCTGGTGTAGGGACCACACTGAGAACCACCACCCTGAAAACAATTTTGCAACTACTCCCTTTAAGATCAAGCTGATTTATCAAGCACTAGAGGAAAAAAGGAACTTGACCTTGGGCAGACACCTTGGGATTGGATTCTCTATAGCATTCCTGCTCGATCTTCCCAGTTTCCAGGTTTATCATACCAACAACTGATTTTTACAAGCTAGAAGACAATGAATGTAAAAGTTCTATGGAACAGTGAAATCAGTGTATGCTTCTCGTCTTTGTATTTAGAAACTTTGATTCTACGGATGATCATTTGTATCATGTTGACCCTTTGACTTGTACTGAGGTGATTTTAAATTTAAGTATGTAGTGCTGGAGTTTTCTCTGTCCCTACAGTTTTAATGAGATGTTTCCATGTTGAATCCATTACAGCCTTGGCTCCTGGCTTCCAGAAGTTTTTGAATAGTTGCTTGCCAGTAGTTTAATATCCCCCATTAGTCACCAAAATATCAGTGTATCAAAATATTACACTATTTGATGTATCTTCATCTTTAACTGTCTGGTGTGAGTCAGTATTTTAATTACCTATATATCTGTAAAGAGTCTACCAAATGGCTTCATGGAATTTGCAAACTGAATCAACTCCCTTTTGAGCAGTAATGTGCCTATTTTAAGAACTTTTCAGTAAATGTATTTGTGAACATATCTGCACAATGGAGAACATATTCATCTTATCTTCCAAATGATGGGGAAAATTTAAAAGTACATCAATATGCTTTGGGAATACAGTAAAATCATGCTAACTCACATATAAATAGAGCCTTAGTTTATTCCTTAAATCTTTTTCAATTCACTTTGGAAATTCTTTTCCCATTAAAAAAACAAAGGGAATAATTCAGGCCTCCCCTGGTGGCACACAGAAGCAGTTGGTCAAGCTGCTGTGGCTAAAAAAACGAATAATTCAGGCCTCCCCTGGTGGCACAGCGGTTGAGCGCTGGGCTACGAGGCTGCCTGCCAGCCTCTGCAGCGCAGGTTTGTTCCCCGGCCACTGGCGAGGGTCCCACCAAAAAAAAAAAAAAAACACAAAGGGAATCATTCAAGAGAAAAAATTAAAATGACATTTATAAACTATATTAATTATGCAAAATTCTTACTGGTTTGATAGTTTCTCTAAAGACTTCTTAAATTTACTGACATGATTTAAATTTTTTGAGACTATTGTATGCAGAGAAAGCAATGACTACATTTACTAGAATTAATGAGATCAGAAAGTAGATCAAGTATTAATGGTATCAAGAATCAAGTTCTTGCCTCTGCAGATGGAAATAGTTGTTTTTTTTTTCACTTTGGTTTACATAATTATTTTTGGAAATTATGTGTGCATTTAGTTTTCTAATTGATTATAAAATTCAATTTAAAAAATCAGTCTAGAAATAATTTATTTTTAATTTGCTTTACTAACTGGTGCCAAAAAGGGGTGGGGAGAATCCAGAAGCCAATCCTGAGAACTAACATGCAAAATATTATGTTGTAAAGTGAGAGAAGTCCAAGCCCAACAGAGCTGACTCTCCAGGGGCCATTAATAGCTGCTCGTGACTATGGGCCGGCCACTTCGCGTCTTCCCTCTGCAGTCTTTCATCTGACATTTGTTGGAAGTGATCCTCTGTAATAAAAACTGGTTTCCCATGAAATAGGCAAAACTAGATAAAAATTAATGCTTTCAATATTTTGGTTCCATTTTCACTGCCACCGTGCGGTAGACTGCTCTCCTAAGGTGTGATGGGGCCGGGGGTGGGGGGGGGGTTGCCTCAAGGGAAAGACTGATTTTGATTTGGTTTTGGTGGGGGGCGGGGGACTGAGAATGAGAGGTTTACTGCCCTAATCATGCCCAAAGACATGATTCCAGATGATTTTCCTGCTTTTACAAGAGAACAAAACAATTGCATTATAAACAGTTCCACTTCTACCCTCTTCCAACTCTAAATAAAGCCAACCAGTGGTAAGGGTCCTTTATTCTCGTATTATGCCAAAGAATTGACTTGTTTTAATTGAAAATTATAAATAAATGAAGCTTGGTATAGCCATAATGATGTGCGTCAGCATACCCCCATTTTAGCTATAGAATGTAGAACACATCCTTGCCACTCCACTCACCAGGAGCCTTGAAGCATTTCGTTTACTCCAAAGGACTCGTTGAGAAAGTACAATATTTGTCTTGCCTTCATGTTTAGTCAGTTTGGTCATATTTATTTTTTTAAAAACTGAAAACTATCCTCCTTTATATGTTGATATAACTGTTTGATTTGATATAATCTGTTGGTTAGCAGGTCCCTCTAAGCAAGCTTGCAATTGTATTTTGTGTATATTTTATTGGAGGTGAAATGAAAATTCTAAAGAGAAAATATTTTAAAAGATACTGTATTTATGTTGCTTGTGTTGTAGAATAAAGATTCACATGCATTAAAGAAATTTGTTTAATAGTTTACTGAATAAATCTATCAAAATAATTTATGTGAATATTCTGTGCTTACAGAATTCTGCCAAAAGAACTAAGCAATTCATAACTCCAGTTGAAGAGGGAGGCCCCTTCGAATTTGTTGACACAGCTAGTCACAATGGACAATCTGGTACATGCCAAGAAAATACACACCACTATTTCCTTTTAAAAATAAGGGAGATTGTTTTACAATATTTTTTCTTCATAAGAATGAATATCAATTTTAGATATTCAGACACTAAGTTACACAAATAATTGACTCAATTGATAGGGATATTTTTACTCATAGGTATATTGAAAAAGAGCTGCTTACAGGTTCATGATCTTACTGTTTTGGAGTTTTAAGATGGACTATTCCAGAAGCCTATCAATGGTATGTATGAGCTTCAGAATCATTGTGCCCAAATTGTGAAAAACAGCTTATTTGGCCAATGGAGAGGTAAAAGATGTAGACAATGACAGAGAAAGAAACATGATTTATGGCTATATATACAGATTCCATCATTGTAGCATAACTTCTGGTAACCTCCAGTTGTACCACTAACAATCATGCCCATCATAAGGACTAAACACTCTGTATAAAGACATCACAAAGCTAAGGAACCAATCAAGTTCATTGATGGAAACAGCTGTGACAGAGAAGAGAAGACCCTGGATCTTTGCCAGGGAATCAGAGTTCACATCCGAAGTTTTGCCCCTTCCTGGGAGTAGGAAAATCAGACAACACACGTGCAGAGCCTGAGGTCCCTGCTCTAAAATGCCTCAAAGGGTTGTTGAAGTGCTTTGAAAATGCTTCTACCTAGTAAATGCTTCTGTCTTAGAGGGTAACACAAATATAAATAGCCCGACTATTTTGCAAGATGACATACTTGCAAATATATCACAACACAGAAAACTTATATTTTGTGCCAGTCAGTCATGAGGGACTCAGCAGTTCAGATCCCGATTTCTTTGATCAAAACACTTTAGAAATAAATTTTCAGCCAATAGCCAATTCTTCTATTATTGAAATCCAGCAATGAATATAATATGTGCATAAAACTATTTTCTTTTTCTTTAGAGACTTGATATACTTCAACTTTTTAGCTTACGATCAAAACTTGAATTATAATTTATCTTTGATAAATATTTAATATCACTCGTTAGAAAAATTCACTTTTCCATCTGGCTTATAGATAGATTCAGTAAGCAAGTGAAAATAAAATTGAGGCCTAATGCAATACTGTGGCTTTCACATACTGGCCGGCATTCCTGTTGTCTCAAGCCTTTCCAGGGCACTCTGAGCATGCCTTTCATCTCCTTTGTTTTTGTTTATAGATTCCTAGTTACAACATCAAGCCGGTGGATGTTCTGAGTCTGCCCTGCTAACAATTTGTTTGCACAAAATCTTTCATCGTCAGAAAAACAAACTATCCAGTTAGTTGATCTCATCCAAACACAGACATGACAATTAAATAGCAGAGAGTTTACTAGCAGTATCTACATCATTAAAGAAGGTATTATTTCAACATAAAGAGATTAAATTCACAACAGTTTGGAGCTAAGAACTGTACTACTGACTTTAGCTGACTTTGATGTGATTACCTAGTCTTCTTTTATCAATATCTAATTGTTGGCTATATTGAGCTACAGATGATGTAAGGAAGTGAAACAATTGCCTCTCTAACAGAATAATCCTCAAGAAAATTAGATGTTAAATGTGACGATACAAATGACTCCACTATAAATCAACTTTAAAAAAAAAATGAGGGCCTCCCCTGGTGGCGCAGCGGTTGAGCGCTGGGTTTTGAGGCTGCCTGCAGCCTCTACAGCGCCAGTTCGATCCCCGGCCACCAGTGGGGGTCCCACAAAAAAATAAATAAAAATAAAAATAAAATGAGTACTGAAGTTGATTTACCACATATGAGGAAAGGATAATGTGGACTACAGTTAAAAGTTCAATATTTCAAAGTTTGTTTTAATGTATGGCCATCAAATCAGTAAATACTTGGATTTTCTAATATAACAATGGGTTGTAAAAACAACATTCTTCTAAAAGCCCAGATTTACTTTTCAAGTGGACAGAATCTATATTAATACAGATTTTTCAAATAAAAACTATTTAGAAACGGGATCCCTGGAAAATTAACTGCGCATGTTTGACATCTGGTCTAAGCACAACAGAATGAAGACAGCCCGCGTCTACGTGAGCACAGAAGTACATTTTACATCATTGAATTGATTAGTTGAATGTAACCAACTCTTATTTCTGTGGTAGGAAAGGCTGTAAAAACAAGGATTAGAGCATGCACAAGGACAAAAAACAGTATCTCTTACTCATTCTATTTTCTGTCAACCCCTGCTATGCTCAGCCAGGCAGTGGCCCCTTCTTACCCTACCCTGGCTCAGCTGGACTTTCCTCTCCTACACGTTGCCCCCTCACTTTCTGCTCACACTGCTCCAAAGAATCAAATATGAAATCAAAATGACAGAGTTGCCTCAAAAGCTACCAGGGAGGATGTTCAGGATTTGGTAATTACCAAAATAATTGGGATTGTGTCTTTCATGAAGCAGTGGACTGGCTAACATTTAAGAACAGCCATATGTGCGGATTTACAGGACCCCTCCCCCAGAGATTGTGGCTGAGCGCTACCAGGACACCTTTCTTCAATATGCACTAAGTAGACTTTTGTGACTAAAACTGAAAAGTCTACTTGAGATGTGCATTTATGGTCTTATTTTCTTCAAGTAATTCCTCACTGCTTTCTCCATGCTCAAGCAGATACTTGGCTGAAGGCTTGGTTGTTCCAGGGTAGGAATACGAGGAGACAGAATGATGAAACATTGTCAGATTCTCTGGCTCTTGTATTCCAAAAGCCCGAGTCACATATTGTGTGTGTGTGTGTGTGTGTGTGTGTGTGTGTTCATGCAACTGTGGATTTTAAAGGCAAGGTACTATGGAAAGAGAAAGAGCACAAACATACTAAGGCAGAAACATGAAAGCAGGGCCTCCCTGGTGGCACAGGGGTTAAAGACTGTGCTATCAAGCTACTGCCAGCCATTGCCGCATGAGTTCGATCCCTGTCCATCCAACCCACATGGTGTAGCAGACCTCTCCTATCTCGCCCGCTGCTCCCCTCAGCAGTGTATTTCAGTAGATCTGCCTGTTCTGCTCCCCACTCTCTCTGGTGAATCCTCTTACCCCCCCCAATACCTCTGGCTTATACCCTAGTTCTTGTATGCATAAATAAATCTTTTATTAAAAAAAAAAAAAACATGAAAGGAAAGAATCCCTTCCTCTCTGAGCAGAACCGAATTCCCTGGGTGGAAAAAAGAAGAGGTTGAACAGCAACAAGACTGCAGGCCAGACAGACCCTGTACTAGCAAGACCAGAAGAGCCCAGAGGAGGGGCCTGCTTGGTGTTCTTAGG